GAGGTATGACCAGAAGGTCTCCTGGAAGGTCTCCTGGTCTAATTAGCATATTACTCTTTTATTAATATAGAGGCCTGGTGCACAGGTGGAGACCAGCTGGTCTGCCCTGAAGGGAGTCCCGGATCAGGGTGGGGGTTCCCTTTGGGGGGCGTGGCCAGCCTGGGTAAGAAGCTGATGGCCATTGCAGGCTGGCCAGAACCCCATAACCCCATTGGGGTGAGGATTCCTGCAGGATGAGGGGCTGAGAACCATTTTGGAGTGGTTTGTAGGCCAGCCAAGCCACTGGCTTTGTCTGGAAGGTCTCTGGAAGGTCTCCTGATCTAATTAGCATATTACTCTTTTATTAAAATAGTCTAGAGGCCCAGTGCATGAAATTTGTGCAAGGGGAGGGAGGGTGTCCCTCAACCCAGCCTGCACCCTCTATAATCTGGGACCCCTGGAGGGTCATACACACACTTTAGTGAGAGTGTTAAGAGAAATCATCATTTACTGGAGATGACACTCTGGTGGTTTTTGTTCACTAATCACTCTCTTTGCAAGACTCTGTCTAATCCTCCATTAGATGGAGCCAGTTTCAAGATACAAAGCAAATAGATTGCTTTTTATGGTTTTAATCCCATGTACATTTAGAATGGCATCCTTAACCGCTGCCCAGGCCTGCAAGTGTATCCTGCTTACTTACATGCATGAGTTACTGGGAGTATCATCCAATCCCAAGGCCACCCCAAGAGGGTATAGTGGGAACCCATGGGTCTGCCTGTCTGGAAAAGGAGACAGTAGACTCAGAGGACAGCCACCAGCCACTGACACCAAGATATTGTTTAGTCTGATGAACAAAATAGATCCAGAGACATAGAAGTATGGAACAGACTGTTGAACTTCAAAGGGAAGGTGTGGATGGGAAGTGATCAACCAAAGACCTTACATACATATATGCAAAACCCATGAACTCAGACAATAGGGTGGTGAAGGCCTGAGGTAGGAGGTATGGTAGGCTAGAAGAGGTCAATGGGGGAAAAGAGCACATATGTAATACTTTCAACAATGAAATTAGGACTAAACTTCAAACTTCCTTCTTCTTTTATTTATTTTTTATTGATTGATTAAGGTATTACATGTGTGTCCTTATCCCCCCATTGCTCACACACACACACACTCATTCCCTCACCATTACTTCCCACTGGTGTCTGTATCCATTGGTTACACTTATATGAATGCGTACAAGTCCTTTGGTTTGATCTCTCCTCCTTACCCTCGCTCTCCCCTACCTTCTCTCTGAGGTTTGATGGTCTGATCATCTTTCTCTGTCTCTGGATCTGTTTTTGTTCATCAGTTTATATTATTCATTATATTCCACAAATGAGTGAGATCATATTATATTTATCTTTCTCTGACTGGCTTATTTTGCTTAGCATAATGCTCCTTAGGTGCATCTATGCTGTTGCAAATGGTAAGAGTTCCTTCATTTTTACCATAGCATAGTATTCCATTGTATAGATGTACCACAGTTTTTTAATCCACTCATCTGCTGATGGGTACTTAGGCTGTTCCCAAGTCTTAGCTATGGTAAATTTTGCTGCTATGAACATGTTGGGGAGGGGCATACATCATTTCTGATTGGTGTTTATAGTCTCTCATAAGATGGGAAACCATAAAAATATTATAGGAATCCACAGGCAGCAAAATCTCAGACATATACCGAAGCAATATCTTCACTGATGCCGCTCCTAGGGCAATGAAAACTAAAGAGAAACTAAACAAATGGGACTATATCAAAATAAAAGCTTCTGCAGAGCAAAAGAAACCATCAATAAAACAACAAGAAAGCCGATTGCATGGGAGAACTTATTTGCCAATGTTACCACCGAAAGGGTTTAATCTCCAACATTTATAAAAAATCCATAGAACTTAACAAAAGGAAGATAAACAACCCAATCAAAAATGGCAATGGACCTAGATAGATACTTTTCGAAAGAAGACAAAAGGAAGGCCAAGAGATATATGGAAACATGCTCAAAGTCACTAATCATCCAAGAGATACAAATCAAAACAACAATGAGGTACCATCTCACACCTGTCAGAATAGCTATCATCAACAAATCAACAAATGACAAGTGCTGGCCAGGACGCAGAGAAAAAGGAACCCTTGTGCCCTGCTGGTGGGAATGCAGACCGGTGCAGCCACTGTGGAGAACAGTATGGAGTTTCCTCAAAGAACTAAAAATGAACTCCCATTTGACCCTGTGATCCCACTTCTACTATAGGAATATATCCCCAAGCCACCTTCTTTACTTTCAAAGCAGGTTCTAGTTCTAGATTTCCAAAAGGCAGGTTAGGATGATGGAGATGTAGAAAGCCTGAAATTATAAAGAACTAAGATTAGTAATAAAACTCTTCAAAGAAACTGCCTCTCAGTTTAACAGTGTTTTGTTTTGTTTTGTTTTTTCTTTTTAATCAATGAAGCAAGCTGCTAGGGCAGGATGGGAAGTGAGAGGTGGGGAGGGTGGGAGGAAAAGCAGGTAGGAGGGGTCAAGGATAGAGACTGCCTGCTGTATCCATGACGTGGATAGCCACTTCTGGTTGTATTTTAAATGAAATCGCATCCCAGTGTAGACACCACGTCTGGAATTAGGACTCACCCTGTGATCTGTCACTTTTAAATACACACAGAGGGAGTGGAAAGGTCTCCATAGAGAGGAAACAATTCAAGAAAAGGAGCCAGCAATCCCAGCAGAGACAGAAGTTCAGGGGGATGTTCCCAGGGCAGACCTGGTCCTGAAGCTGCACCTGCCTCACTGAGCATCAACACTCCGGAGGAAAGTCCACTCTCGGGTAAGATTTTGGACAGAGGTTTTTCTATGAAGGATAAATGTATTTGCCCTAAATTAGGCAGGAGGTGCTGGGGACTGGACAAGGGTGAGACATGAAAGTTGAAAAACAGTGCTGCATGCCATGGTGTTTTAAATATGAGACCATGGGGAAGTTTCTAAGGAGGGTGGAGAGGGATGGGCAAAATGATCCTTTTGTTGATACAGACATGCATGCTTTGCAAAAGGTAATAGATTGAAGGCACAATGGGTTCATACAAATCTATTTTTTCAGAATGGAACTCAGTCATGAACATGAAAAATGTCCCTCAGTAATAGTTTACCAATGGGGATAGGAAGTCAGAACCACAGAGTATTCCCTATTGTTGGCAGGAGCAGAAGGATGCTTGCAATTATGGTTTATCATGTGCCAGCATATTTAACCTTTGTCACCTTTCATTCTCTCAATACACCTGTGAGGCAGGTAATATCTCCTCTTTAGGATGTGGACTAAGAGATTCACCCAAGATAATTAAGAAAGTGAGGGAAGTTTTAAACCCAGGTCCTTTCCCTTTAAAACCTAGAGTCCTTTCCCCCTTGCTACACAAGGTGTTTTGGAGGAAAGGGACAGATATATCCAAGGACTTGGTGCTACTAGTGAAAGGGAAAAACCATAAAGATGGATGTTTGGTGTCTCCACTTGATGCCCAAATTTTCTGAGAAATCCTGTTTGCAATTTTCTCAAGCATAGCAATCTAGCAAACACACACACACACAGACACACACACACACACAGCTTCCAATAATGGATTAAATAATACGACAGTGTTATAAATTCTGCCAATGACCAGTTATATGTAACATGTCAACTTTCCTCCGGCTGTTCCCCCCTCTTTGGAGGAAGACCTTTCACATAGAAACCTTCAGTGCTCACTTTGAGAGCGAACTGCTTAGAGGTTTCTCTCTCTCTCTCTCTCTCTCTCTCTCTCTCTCTCTCTCTCTCTCTCTCTCTCTGTGTGTGTGTGTGTGTGTGTGTGTGTGTGTGTGTGTGTGTGTGGTCACACAACACTAACACGAATCTACAAGAAGAAAACAGCTTACTATATACTCACTACTATCCCATTTAAAATGATTAAAGCTTTCCCTAGGTTCTGCAGCCAGTTTTCAAAAATGTTTTTAAATTTTTCATTTAAAAAATATTTTTTATTGATTTTAGAGAGGAAAGGAGAGGGAGACAGAAATAGAAACATCAATGATAATCATTGATTGGCTGTACACCCCAACTGGGGATCGAGCCCACAATCCAGATCTGTGCCCAACCAGAAATTGAACTGTGACTTTCTGGTTCATAGATCAGCACTCAATGACCAAGCCACAATAGCTGAGCTGAATTCTTCAGTTTTTTAATTCACCTTCTTAACGGTATCTGCATATAAACTGTATAAAATAGGGAAAAACACTGTCATCCTTCCCACCCCCTCCCTGATGGAAAATGGAGCTAGCAGGGGGCACAGTATATAACTGAACTCTTTCCCTTCCAGTACCCTCTCTCTCAGAGATGCTCTGAATTTCAGGCTGGCCCAGGTTCCTAGGACTGAACTCAGATTTCAGAATTATGTGTGTATCTTTAAATGACCCAGAGAATGTACTGTTGTAACAACCTTAAAGAATGGTTGAGTTTCAGATAAACAAACAAGAAAAATATAGATGTAGAGTTTTACCTCTCTACTTTAAATCTAAGTAGATGGGGCTTGCTTATTTTCATAGTAGGTAGCAGTGTTTCACTAGAGATGATGGCAAAAGCGCCTGAAGAATGGAAGAGGGGAAACTTGCTTATGAATTAGTCTTCAGTAGGGAAGCAAAGGATGACGGATGACTTTTCCCTATGGAGAGTTTGTTTTCCTTTACCCTGCAAACCCTAGATAGAGGTAAATGGGGGGGGGGGAGAGAGAGAGAGAAAGAGAGAGACAGAGAGAGAGAGACAGAGAGAGAGAGAGAGAGAGAGAGAGAGAGAGAGAGAGAGAGAGAGAGAGAGAGAGATCTGCAACTCAGTCCCCTGAAACAAATGTCCAGATGCTGCTGTGGGTGGCGAAACCACTGTAGTAAGCAGGCATAGACAACACCCCAGGTCCTCTGAGCCTTAAGCCCCTCTCATGCCCCTTCCTATTTCCCTCATTTCTACCACAGGGAGAGATGCTTGTGCCAGCCCACTTCCTGCTGCTGCTACTGCTGCTCCAAGGGGCCCCCAGAATGAGTCTGTCCCATAAGTTCTCCAAAGCCGAGTCCATCTTCTGCTGCATCAACACGGCCCTGTCTGAAGCCAAGAAAAGCCAGCTGGAGGAGATACCCCTGCTGAGCAAGAGAGGTTTCCCCTACCTACCCAGGCAGGACCCATCCTCAGATGAGGACAAAGAGAATGAGGAGAAGGGAGAAGACAAGAAGAAAAGGACCTTCTCTGGCCCCAGGAGTAGTGGTGGAACTGGAAGCTCTCGATACAAGTACTTATCCAAAGCACAGCTCAAAGGGAAACCACACCAGAACAAGGCCAAGACTGACCGGAGCACCAAGTTCACTCTGTCCCTTGATGTTCCCACTACCATCATGAATGTCCTCTTAAACATTGCCAAGGCCAAGAACTTGAGAGCCAAGGCAGCTGCCAACGCCCATCTGATGGCACAGATTGGACGGAAGTAGGCTCGAGGACAGCAGGGCAGCTCATGAAGGACAAGGATAAAGGTCAGGTGGAGGGTAAGAGTTTGCCCACCCAACTGATTTTTATTTTGCGGACGATCCAGTTTTACAGGCTGCCTCATTGCTCAACCCCTCTGACCCTTTCCTATCTCCAGCCCAGCTTTCTCTGTACAATACACAGGCATGCAGAATTGTCCCAATTTCACAGATATGAATCTATTAAGGCCTCTTCCTATGTTCTGTGTCTCTTTTTCTCTTACCCCACACTTCTCCCTGAAGATCCCGTGCCTGGGAAGAGAGCACCTAGGGCTCCTCTCTTCACACAGCAACCCCAGCCAAGACTGGGAGATAAAGAGATGCACTGATTATCATCCTGCCAACAGATCCCTACCCTACCCTCTTGCTTCCATTAAAACAAGTGACTTCTTGAACCCCTGGTTTGTGTCAATTCCTCGTTCATCAGCCAGCTGCCTCCAAACTTCTGAACTCAGAGAGAAAAGGCAAATGAGGGAGGGTATAGATAAGTCAATTCCCCATCTCTCCCAGGATGGGAATGGTTCTTGGGTGTCATAGGTAAAGAAGAGCTTAGGAAAGATCAAACTGACAGGATTATGTCAGCTGTCATTCAAACTAGAGCCATCTCCATGGTTTGATCCTACCCAAAAGGCACAGCCTGGGCTAGACAGGAGAGGGAGCTTTCAGTATCCCCTATGGAACACCCCACATCCTAATGGCCTTCTGGTGCATAGGCCCTGGAAGCCTTTAATAGGTGCTCACTGAGCCCACAGTAACTGCCCAGCATGGTGCGGAGCACCTGGGAGATGCCGATGTGTGTGAGACAAGGCCGCTGCTCTCCATGAGTGAACATCTAAGCCAATAGACAAAATGAAAATGGAAATAAAAGCAAATAACACCAGGGAATAGGTAAGTGATGAATTGCAAAGTGATAGCAATTAGTGTAAAGAATATATGAGGAATTCAGAGGTGAGGGGTTTAATATGAGTAAAAGTTCACTAGCAACAGACATCAGGAAGAACTCTGATAGCCTCTAGCAGCAGAGCCTAAGGGCCAGTTCCCCAGAGAGGGACTGTGGTTCCACTCACTTCTTCATGGTGATGAATCATAAATATATAAAATTAATTTCTACATAGTAAAGTAACATTACCACACACCAGCAGTTAATATTTCCACCACCAGCAGCAGCAAAAACAAACCACAAATGAATGACAAATTTGGGAAAATGTTTGCCACCCATATAAAAGACAAATGGCTTATTGATCAAATTTATAAAGAGCTACTAAAAATTGAGAAGGAAAAAAAAAACAGCCAAAACGTGTTTGGTTCAGTGGATAGAGCGTCGGCTTGTGGACTGAAAGGTCCCACGTTCAATTCTGGTCAAGGGCATGTACCTTGGTTGCGGGCACATTCCCAGTAGGGGGTGTGCCAGAGGCAGCTGATCGATGTTTCTCTTTCATCAATGTTCCTAACTCTCTATCCCTCTCCCTTCCTCTCTGTAAAAAAACAATAAAATATATATTTTTTTAAAAAAGGAAAAAAAACAAAAAAGAAATAAGCAAGGATCTAAATAGGGCACTTGAGAAAATTTGTCAGATACTTAGTCTTTAAAATAAAAGAAAATATATAAAATTCATAAAGGAAATATAAAATATATAAGAATGTTTATCTAAAAATGCAAAAGGGACCAAAAAGTCATGTCTATTCCCTCTAAAAGTGATTATTTTCGTAGATTTTTAAATTTTTAAGACAATAGAAAAACCTGTAATGGTCTTTTCTGTATATGAGAATGCACAAAAACGCATGCACACACATACAAATGTCGTCTAGAACATCAACACTCATTTGAGCTTCTGAGCAGTTATTTTGAGCATTTCATCAGTGCCCTCCAGTGTCTGAAGGGAGAAATAATACATATGCATTAAAAAAAATTTTAGGTACTTAGTAAGAGCCTAATAAAAGTTCAAAGCAGGATATGCACATGGAAAAAAGTTTCATCACTGAGTACTTACTACAATTCACTGTGTGGCATACTTTCATAGGTTTACAGCTATCCATATGGAAAATAATACAATAATTAATAAATAATAATAAAATAAACTGTGTACCCATAACTGTACACCTAATTTTGCCTCTCCCTATATAGTGAGATTTTGTAATGTATCCTAACCCTCCCTGAATCTTGAGGTGGAAGTAAGTGGATACTACAGATCAATCCTGTAGCTGGAAGGGGCACAAGGAAGAAGAGTTCGAGCAGCTACATAGAACAGGTGACATCTGAACAGGATTTGTAATAGGAATTACATTCCATGGTCACAGAGGAAGGAAGAGAGACAGCAAGGAGAAGGAGCAAAGGTATAGGAGAGAGAAAGGAGAATCTGTGCTGAGAAGGGGTGAGAGTCTGGTTTGAATGTATGACAACAAAGAAGAGGTTGGAATTGTAAATTTTAGCTGAAACTAGTGGTAACAAGCTCTGCATATAACATGCATGAATTTACACTTTATGCCTAAAACAATGGGGAATTATCAGAGCTTTGTATAGGGAGCAGAATAATCTATGCTGTGCAGCAGAATAGTCACAGAGTCGTGAGTAAGATGGATCAAGAAGACCAAGTGAGAGGTCGAAAGCATTTATTTTTTAACATATTTTTATTGATTTCAGAGAGGGAGAGGGAGAGAGAGATAGAAACATCAATGATGAGAGAGTATCATTGATATGACTCATGCACACAGCACACTGGGGATCAAGCCTGCAACTGTTTGTTTTTCAATTTTTTTATTGATTATGTATCCATATCTCCCCATTGCTGCTCTACCACAGAAAGTCATGGTTTTGATAAATCTAGTAATATCAATGATCTTCAAGACAATAGTTTTAGTAGAATAATGGGAGTTCACCAAATCACAAAGGTTAAGGAGTGAGCAGAAAATTAGGTATAGGTATCAAATGTATATTCCTTTGAAAAGTTTGATAGAGGGCAAACATGTGACAGTATATTTTAAAAGTAATAGAACCCAGAAAAGGGTATTGATTCTTGACATGAGCAGACCTCCACATATAAGTAGAAAGAAGAAAAAAAGTCAATGGAGAGAGACAGACTATGCAGGGGGTTGAAGAAACAAGGTGTCCTAGAACAGTCAAGGGGAGAAAGCACACAAATCATAAGTGACCTTGGAAAGAAGTCTTTCCTCTGGGATAGCAGAGGATATGTGAAGATTCAAAATAATTTTTAAAGGAGATCAAAGAGGAACATAAAAAAATTCGAATAGATGTGACTTATATAAAGTAGGAAATAAAGTGATCTCCTGGTGTTTTTCAACCTAATAATTATTGAGTACTGACTATATGCTGGTCACTGTAGAGACTTATAATAGATGAATAAGGCAGACCCTACCTCAAAATCACATTTAATTAGTGCTTATACTCCTCCGAGCTATTTCAATCATTAGTTCAGGAGATCTCACTCTCTGGGGAAGAAAGGGAAAATATGCCCTCTCAACTCTAGATACACATTTAAAAAGAGTAAAGGGAGTTATTTTTGTCAAAAGGAAAATGATGCCAGGTGGAAGTATGATTATAACAAGACAGAAGAGTAAGATTGAGAGAAAATCTAAGCAAATATCTACTTTTAAAACAACAACACTAATAATCAATGTCTTGTGGGCTTTAAAATATGTATGACGGCAGGAAAATAAATGAAGTGGAAGTGTCCTAAGTTCTTATTATTGTCTGGCAATGGTAAAAACACTAATGCATGCCAGTAAGTCAAGTTTGAATGTTTTAATTTCTAGGGTACACACTAAAATATATATATAATTTCAGAGAGGGAAGGGATATGGAGAGAGGTAGAAACATCAATGATGAGAGAGAATCATTGATCAGCCACCTGCGGCATGCCCCCCACTGGTGATCAACCCCTCAACCTGGGTGTGTGCCATGACTGGGAATTTAATCATGACCTCATGGTTCATGGGTCAACACTCAACCACTGAGCCATGTTGGCTGGGCTACACTAAAACATTTTAATAAATATTTAATAAGCTAATAGAGAGGCAATATGAATGATAAAGAAAAACTTGGCAAATCTAATATTTGCGTATGGCATTGTACAAGTAGCATCACAAGTTAATCAATTCTTAGACTCACAAAATCTTGGAACTGGAAAGGGTCTTAAAAATAACATTATCCAAGATAAGGATTTTAAAATATGGAGAATTTATGTATATATTTCAAGAATAGATCATTGTAACAATGCCATGAACTGGATCTATCTTTCCTAATATCTAATTAAATATTTCTTCCATGTTACCTCTTCCCTTTTACAATGACAAAGTTAATTCAAAAAAACAGCCTTTAAAAAAAGTATGTGAATCTTGATGATTAATCTCTAGAAAACCTTACCCTACAGCTCACAAGTATGTGAAATGTCCATAGTACTTAAGTCATCAAACAGCTTTATTTATAACCATAAAAGATAGATATGATTTTAAAAGGCAAACATGAGAGACATAGGTTAATTGAAAAATAGAACCTCCTATTCCAGTAATTTGGACATTAGCATAGACTCCTTCAAACATTGAAGGTTTTCTTCTACACTTAAAGAGCCAGACAGTTCACTGTTAGTCTATGTTGGATTTGGTGAAAGTGATAGTCAGGTTCACCAAATCACTCCTTTTATTTGGAGGGGAAAAATACTTTTTAACTTCCCTCCAAATGTTTGATTGCAGCAAGTCAGAAGATAAGAATGAAAGTCATTTTCATTACTCTGTTACTATAATGGAAGTCCTAGTGAATCTTAGGATTAACTATCCCAAGGAGAACTCTGGGATGACATTATTTTGCTATCAGCATAAACTGAGGCCTTGGCACAGGGCCTTGGAAGTCAAGGCCAGAGATTCAGCCAAATACTCGGAGACCTAAGGACTGAGCAAAACCTCACTAATAGTTGTGTGGGCTGGTAAACCATATCTTCACCAGTATTGACAAGTATCTATCATTTCCACCAAACTGTGGTCATTGGCCTCCATGGTGACAATGGTTTGAGTTGAAAACAGGCAAAATAGTGCATTATTCAAATGGAGCTCTTAAAGGCCACATCTCAGGGCAGTGATTTCAGTAAAAGCATCTATCAGGAATATGTTAAGGATACAACAGAGGTCCTGGGATCCAAGTGATACATGTAAAAAGGTGGCAGCATTGCAGTTTGGTAAGTCTCACAATAAGACCCACAACTTTACACCTTCAGCCAAGGCTATAGGGCCTACTAGACCAAAATCACCATGAGGCTAAAAGAGAGTACAACCAGAGGACTAAGGATGAAAGGTAAATACTACAGATGAGGAGGCACCTGAAAGCCATCTACCATCAGTTCAAGAGCAACACCAACCAACTAGAACCTTTGCAGTATCTATAATAGTTCACCTTAATTTTAGCTATTAAGCTAAACAATATGGCTTCTAAAAATCTAGCTAGTGAATTTAATGCATTTATAGATATTTTGTCCATTTTAAATTATAACTCATTTAAAAATGGGTTACCACTATACAGTAACTCTGTTTAAATACAAAAAAATAAGTTAATTCTATTAAGTGTTTTTTTAACTTCAAATCCTCAAATCACATTCTCTCCAATCCCCAGGGCTTTTCATTTAGCAATCTGTAGTAATGGTCAAGAATCTGTCTTTCACATGCAAAAGAATGAAACTAGATCACCAACTTATACCATACACAAAAATAAACTCAAAATGGATACAGGACTTAAACATCAGATGGGAAACCATAAAAATATTAGAAGCATCCACAGGCAGCAAAATCTCAGACATATGCCAAAAGAACTTCTTCACTGATACTGCCCCTAGGGCAATGGAAGCTAAAGAGAAAATAAACAAATGGGACTACATCAAAATAAAAAGTTTTTTCACAGCAAAAAAAACCATCAACAAAACAACAAGAAAGCCCACTGTGTGGGAGAACATATTTGCAAATAATACCACTGATAAAGGTTTAATCTCCAACATTTACAGACAGCTTATACAACTAAATAAAAGGAAGATGAATGATCCAATTAAAAAATGGGCAATGGACCTAAATAGAATATTTTCAAAAGAAGACAGAAGGAAGGCCAAAAGGCACATGAAAACATGCTCAAAGTCACTAATTATCCGAGAGATGCAAATCAAAACAACAATGCGATACCATCTCATACCTGTCAGAATGGCCAACATCAACAAATCAACAAACGACAAGTGTTGGCGAGGTTGTGGAGAAAAAGGAACCCTCATGTACTGCTGGTGGGAATGCAGACTGGTGCAACCACTGTGGAGAACAGTGTGGAGTTTCCTCAAAAAAACTGAAAATGGAACTCCCATTTGACCCAGTAATCCCACTTCTAGGAATATATCCCAAGAAACTAGAAACACCAATCAGAAAGAATATATGCACCCCTATGTTCATAGCAGCACAATCTACAATAGCCAGAATTTGAAAACAGCCTAGGTGCCCATCAGCAGATGATTGGACCCAAAAACCATGGTACATCTACACAATGGAATACTATGCTGCCATAAAAAAGAAGGAATTCTCATCATTTGCAGCAACCTGGATGGAATTGGAGAACATCATGCTGAGTGAAATAAGCCAGTCACTGAAAGAGAAACACCACATGGCCTCACTCATTTATGGATATTAAAGAACATTATAAACTGATGAACCAAAAGATAGATATAGAGACAGTAAAGCAACATGCAGACTGTCAAATTACAGTGGGGAGGGGAGGGAGATCTGGGGGAGATAATAGATCAACCGAAGGACTTGTATACATGCATATAAGTACAACCAATGGACATAAAGCTCTGGGGAGGGAGGGTATGTATGCGAGGGAGGAAGGGGGGCAAAAAAAATCAATAAAATATATTAAAAATTAAAAAAATAATAAATAATAAAAATAAAAAAATAAAAGCAGGCAGCTTAAGATATGGCATAAAAAAAAGAATCTGTCTTTTCTTTTTTCTTTTTTTTCTTTTTTCTTTTTTTTTCTAAACCTCTTAAATGGTTCTGATGCAGGGTTCTATGGCTACACTTTGAGAACACCTCCTCAGGGAAGGAAAATGGGAAGGAGATCACTTTCACCCTCTGGCCTATAGGACACACAGATTCAAATTTGTGAAAGGCCCAAGAATATTCTTGTTTGTTTATTTATATAAAAAGTAAATTGAGACTTTAAGGCCACATTTGGAAGAAAAAGAATTATACTGAAAACACTCATAATTTAATCAAAGTATAAAATATAGATAAGGAGGAAATAACATAAATAATCAAAATTGTGCTATTTTTCAACTCAAGTAGAGGATAGGGAAAGCATTAACTTTAGTGCTTCATAGTGTCATGGTTGAAAAGCAAAGAATATACTAGTATAGCCAGGTTTCCATTCGGACAAAACACACATACACACACACACACACACACACACACACACACACACAAATGACATGACCCAAAAGAACTCCAAAGCTTAGAAGCTCCACAGGTAGCAGTGCTGAATTATACTGACAAGAAAAGATGTTCTCATTGTTAATATTGGCTGATTTAATTTAGTGTGGAACTTACGTTCTTGCTTCATTTAATTTCTTTTTCTAATCAAAGGAACTCTACCCACTAACTGTAAAATGTCTTTTAAAAGTAAGCATGGTATTTAACATTATTTTCACCAACATATATACTTCAGAAACTTTGCCCCACCTCCTCATAATCCTTCTCCAGAGATGCCAGATCTCTCCTGGCCTCTGAAAATTCCTCTTCTTCCATGCCTTCTCTGATGTACCAATGTATAAATGCCTTCTTGGCATACATGAGATCAAACTTGTGGTTCAGGCGGGCCCAGGCCTCTACAACTGCTGTGGTGTTGCTCAGCATGCAGACAGCCTGCTGGACCTTGGCCATTTCCCCCCCAGGCATCATCATGGGTGGTTGGCTGTTGATGCCCACCTTGAAACCAGTTGGACACCAATCCACAAACTGAACAGAGTTCCTTGACTTCATGGCTGCAATTGCTGCATTGACATCCTTAGGGACCACATCCCCTCTATAGAGTAGGCAGCAGGCCATGTACTTCCCCAGTCGAGGATCACACTTGACTAGCTGGTTGGAGACCTCAAAGCAAGCAGTGGTGATATCTGACACAGAGAAGTCCTTGTGGTAGGCATTGTCAGCAGAAATGATGGGGGCTAAGGCTGTCATAGGGAAATGTATTCTCGGATAAGGTACCAGGTTGGTCTGGAATTCATTTAGGTCCACATTCAAGGGCCCTTCAAACCGGAGGGAAGCAGTAATGGAAGATACTGCCTGACCTATCAGTCTATTAATGATGGTGTAAGAGGGGCGATCAACACCAAGTTTGTGATGGCATATGTCATAGAGGGCCTCATTGTCCACCATGAAGGTACAGTCCGAGTGCTCTAATGTGTAATGGGTGGTGAGGATGGAGTTATAGGGTTCTACTACAGCAGTGGAGATCCTGGGAGCTGGATAGACAGAAAACTCCAATTTAGTCTTCTTGCCATATTGTATTGAGAGATGCTCCATTAAGAGAGATGTAAATCCCGATCCAGTGCCTCCTCCAAGGCTTCGGAAAATCAAAAATCCCTGTAGTCCACTGCACTGTTCTGCCTGGAAAAGAAAGCAAGATATAGGAACTCAGCCAAATACTGGTAAAGCCAGAAGCAGTGGTGATGGTGGGACACAAGTTCCCAAAACAAACCAAAACTTTCAGAAAGAACTGATTTGCCATTATCAACTCCACAACAAACTTTACTTTGGAACATATTTGAGTGGTTACTTCTGGGATGGCAAAGCACTTTGGAGATTTATTATAGAAAAGCATAAATATTCCACTGTTCTGCATTGCCCTCCATGAATATATCTGTATGTGATCTAAAGCAAGGTCTTTATCAATAACTATAAAAATGATTAGCAAAACATTGAAGCAATATATTTCCCCCCATATTAGATGAAGTGCCTATAATTTCTACCGTGTTTTCCCAAAAATAAGACATCCTCCAAAAATAAGACCTAGCGCATGGAAAGATAAGACATCCCCTGAAAATAAGACCTAGCACAACTTTGGGTGAAAAAATTAATATAAGACACTGTCTTATTTTCGGGGAAACAGGGTATGTCCAGACTACTGGGCTGGTGTAAAGGCAACATATTACATAAGGAGTATGGCAAATGCCAAAATATTTCCTCAACAAAGATTCTCCAGACACAGGTCCTTAAATAATTAACTGTCAGTAAATAGAATAACTAATCTTCAGGTATCGATAGAATGTGCCTCTGTTAACTTTACAAATAGTGATTACGAAGTTTTAGGATGCTTTGGGAGTCTCTAGTAACAAGATAAACCACGAGTTAGCAAAAGCAAGATTAGATGGTGACTATTCATTAAAAAGAAGGAAATCCTGGTATTTGCCACATGGATGGACTTTGAGGGCATTATGCTAAGTAAGATAAGTCAATCAGAGAAACACAAATACTGTATCATCTCACTCATATATGGAATCTAAAAAAGTCAAACTTGTAGAAACAGAGAGTAGAATAGTGGTTGCCAAGCACTAGGAGGTGGGGGAAGTGGGGATCTTTTGATTAAAGGGTAGAAATTTTCAGTTATAAGACAAATTCAAGATCTGGGACTCTAATGTCCAGCATGGTGACAATAGTTATTGTTTACTTGAAAGTTGCTAAAAGAGTAGATCTTAAATGTTGTCATGACAAAATTTTAGCAAAGTTAATTATGTGAGGGGATGGAGGTATTAACCTATTGTGGTAATCATTTTGCAACGTATATGTGTATCATATCTGTCATATGTGCACCTTAAATTTACACAATGTTATATGTCAACCTGGAGCACAGATTCATGCACCGTTGAGGTCCCTTGGGCTGGCCTGAAGGATGTAATAGTGCCAAAGTGGCAGGCTGCTGGGGGAAGAGCCCAAGCCCTGGCCTGGTGCCATGCCAGGCCCACTCATCCAGGCCTCGCTGCATCTGGCACTGCTGCCACCATTTGGTAGGCCCATTGCCATTCCACTGTGGTCTCCATGCACTGTCCTAGGGCAATACCAGCATCCTATGACCAAGAAGCAGCCATGGGCTTGCATTCAGTCAGGCCCAATGCCAGTCCCAATCCCAGCCCTGGTCTGGTTGTAGGAAGGGGGTACAGAGGGAGTGTCCACAGAAGAGACTCACACCATGGCAGCTACACTCACCAGCCATAAGCCCAGTATCTGGCCCCACTAAGGGAGCACACTGACCACCAGGGGGCAGCTCCTGCATTAAGTGGCTGCCCCCTGGTGGTAAGTGCACATCATAGCTACTGGTCAACCAGTTAACGGGTCACTTAGGCTTTTATATATATAGTAGTGGCCTGGTGTACAAAATTCATGCACGGGGGAGTGGGGGGAAGGTGTTCCTCAGCTCAGCCTGCACTCTCTCCAATCTGGGACCCCTCGGGGGGGTTGTCTGACTGCCCCTCTGTGGGATTGGGCCTAAACTGGCAGTCGACATCTCTCTCATAATCCAGGACTGCTGGCTCCTAACTGCTCACCTGTCTGCCTGCCTGCCTTCCTGATCACCCCTAACCACTTTGCCTGCTGGCCTACTCGCTCCCAACTGGCCCCCTCCCCCCGCCAGCCTGATCACCCACAACTGCACTCTCCTCCTGGTCTGATCTTCCCTAAGCACCTCTGCCTCAGCCCTGACACTATGGTTTTGTCCAGAAGGATGTCCAGAAGGTCTCCCAGTCTAATTAGCATATTACCTTTTTATTAGTATAGATAGGTTATATTTCAATAAAGCAGCAGGAAAATAAAATAAAACATTTCCTCAATGAATTTAAACAAAAAAGAAGAAAATGGGGCTGAACAAAGAGTGTGAAGGCATCTGTGGCCTTTCCTACTTAACAAAGTGTAATCAAAGCCCACATCAGGAACTTCCCAGCTCTGAGCATGGCAAGAGACTCAGAGGAGAGAGGTTGGCTGGTGATGGTGTTGAGGATAGAACTGCTGTTGATACTTGGGAGGTGTTTCACAGAATCCCAGGCACTCTGGCACACTTCCCCCAACCTCACTGAGAAGAGAGCCACTTGCCAGCTTTCGGATTCTCTCTAGCACAAGGTTGATGATCTCTGACCCCAGAGAGTAGTGTCCTCGGGCATAGTTGTTTGCAGCATCCTCCTTCCCACTAACAAGCTGCTCTGGGTGAAAGAGAGAGCGGTGCTTGCCTGTTCGAATCCCATCTGCAGAGGGAAAAGCAGGTCAGTCATTCCACTAATCAACTCTAGCCCTCTGCTAATTCTCATACAACCCTGGACCATGAACCTCCCTTCTTCCCCAATGTTGTGGTAAAGCAATGACTTTAAACTGCTGACTGGCCTTCCTTAGTCTTGAAAAAGGTATAACTATTTCCATACCAGTTGAAAATTTGTTTTTCCATCATATATTCTCTATTCCTTTCTTAGAGCTACCATGACAACTTACTGTGTGGCTTAAACAATAGAAATTGAGGAGACTAAAATCAAGGTGTTAGCAAAGTTGATTCATTTGGGAGGTTCTGAGGGAGAATCTGTTCTGCATTTGTCTCCTGGTTCTGATGACTGCTAACAATTTCTGGAGTTCCTTAGCTAGCCATTGCATCACTCCACTATCTGCCTCCATGTGCATGCCCTTTTCCCTGGGGGTCCACTCTTCTTATAGGGACATGGGTCATTGGACTTAGGGCCTTTCCTAATCCAGTATGAACTCATCTGAACAAAGTACATCTGCATGGTCCCTATTTCTAAACAAAGTCATATTCTGTGATTCTGAGTGGACATAGACTTTTAGGAGATACTATTCAACCCATCCCATACCCTGTGGCACTTTGGCATTTTAAAACAAGTATTTCTATCCACAGAGAGCCAACAATGTCCTGGAAAAGCATGGAAGAGGATGCCAATCTAAGTTTTTATTAGTATACTTTAAAGAGGCTTGAACAAAGAGGTGTGGCATGCTTAAATACCCACATGACTCAAATGCAGTTAATATAAATGCCTGAGTCAGTGAAATCAATGTTAAGATGTTGGCAGTATTCAGTACAACCAGCTGCAACCCTTGCCTGGATTCATTGCCTTTAAAAACCCTGGGCAGCATGAGAAACACAACATGTTGAAGAGCCATATCCCACACCCCTAACTTACAATTACCCAAATAGCATTACTCCTAAAGAATTATACAGTAATGTTTGAGGGTTACTTAGGATTTTGGGATGTTTCCCTGGATACAGTTGGGTGCTGCATTCCATAGTAGTGAAGAACATGCATCAAGAATCATTTTCCGCCGAGACCGGTTTGGCTCAGTGGTAGAGTGTCGGTTTGCGGACTGAAGGGTCCCGGGTTCGATTCCGGTCAGGGGCATGTGCGTTGGTTGCGGGCACACCCCCGGTGAGGGGTGTGCAGGAGGCAGCTGGTCGGTGTTTCTCTCTCATCGACGTTTCTAGCTCTCTATCTCTCTCCCTTCCTCTCTGTAAAAAAATCAATAAAAATATATTTTTTTAAAAAAAGGAATCAATTTCCTATGTTCCTATCTTGCCTTCCTCACTTAGCTATAGAGCAGGTACTTTTGTCTCTAGGCCTCAGTTATTATTTCACCTCACAAATAAGGATAATAACAAGACCTACCTACTGAGTTATTATGAGTATTAAATGAGATCATAGAGCATGATGCATGGACCATAAAATAAGAATTATAATTAATAATGATAAAATTGGCTTTATGACATGCATTTATTCAGATTTATTTTATTATACATCATTGGCCTCGGCACCAAATATCACAGAAGCTCACTGCCTACAAAGAAAGGCACTAATTTTCTAAGAGCAAAATTATTCTCTCAAATCATCTTGCTCTCCTGTATATGATATGACCATGAATTTTGTACACCCCCAAATGTTCAAATTTACTAATATTGAGTTTAAATGACTTCTAATTAACATACACACTCATAAAAAAAATAAACCTATCCAAGTAGGGTTTTTTTTAAGTTATATTTATAAATAAGATATAAGCAGGAAACTAATTCTGGATAGACTCATTGCTTCTCATATGAAGCTCTAAGGCTGAGTTCAGTCTAAGGAGGGAGTTTATGGAATTTAGGAAAGCCTGCTTCTTCATGATAATGTCCAATTGAGATACTGAGAGTATTAGTTCCATAAATTCTTTCAGTGAAGTCAACTTTCTTGTAAATCAGTGATTATAGTAATATTAATACTGTCCACTTAACTTCCTGGAACTTTTCCACATTGATCAGAGCTTTAAGTACCTGGCCCAGAACCCTCAGTGATTTCCATGGTTTTAAAACACAATTATTTGATGATCCCTTGGCTTCCTTACCCTCAATGCCATTCAGCTCCATTCCACTTAAATCACCATCACTCACAACTGCCTCCCCCTAAATCCTCAACTTGAAAAATATTTTCCATGATCATACCTCCTTACTTCCCCCTACCTGCACCAAATACCTAGCCCCAGCTATCTTCCTAGTCTTCTCTTCTATCATTTTCCTACTCATACTGGGAGTTCCAGCCACACTGAACTCCTGTTAAACTTGCGTGTTCCTCTATGCCTTGGTGAATTTGCAAATGCTATTCCCCGAGAGGAGAGCTTTGATGACTCCCCAGTTACTCATTCTGCTTCAGTAATATTGCTGTACCTTGCAGAAATTTCTATTATGAGGTTATATCATATGAAACTGACATTTTTTAGGTAAAAAAAATCATCCATTGGCAATTTTGTATGGCTTAATACATTTATTTATTAGTGTTGTGTTTATTATTTATATTTTCTTCTGCACTCAATTATGCTGGTTTTCTTTTAAAGCATAATGGCTTTTATAAGAAGGCAGATCTGGAAACAAAGACAGTTATTCTCAGTGATCTAAGGCAAGTTCTATAACCTTCCCAAGACACAGTTTCCTCATGTATAAATCAAGAATGACAACCGTGTTTCCTAATGGAGTTGTTGAAAGTTTGTTTGAGCCTTCCTGTTCAAATAGACTGTATAATCTATACCAGTCCTACCCACTGATACTTGATCTGTTTGCTTTGATTGTGACCCTGGTTAAGTACACTAGAATGTAAAGCCTTACCTATAACAGTTGGCTCTAGGTCAATGAAGAGTGCTCTGGGCACATGCTTCCCAGCTCTTGTCTCGCAAAAGAAGGTATTGAAAGAGGCATCCATATGCTCTGTTTTAGCAATTTCCAACTGATCCTTTCTATTGTCAAGAATAAAACCATCTGGATGAATTCCGTGTTCCAGGCAATACAATTCCCAGCAAGCATCCCCAATCTGGATGCCAGCTTGGCCCACGTGAATGGAAAGGCATTCCCTCTGAAATAAACCACAATGAGTTAGAACAGAGCAGTCCTCCTTAGATCTCATGATCCATGTGACTCAGCACTTCTGCTTATAACTGACAGAAACCAAGCTAGCTTGTGTCAATAAGAGAAATTTATTATAAGGCAAAATGAAAATATCCCATGGAAACCAAATGGCAGGATACAGTTAAGTATTAGGAACAACTGAACCAAGGACTCTAATTCCATTAAGAGATTTCTTTTGACAACGTAAATTAAGCACCTATTGTGTAATTGGTTAAGAATAAATTAAGACCATCTATATAATTTCACATATAATATATGTACAAAATCAAAGTTATCTTACCAAGAAAAATAATTAGCTGGTTATTGGAAAGGAATAAAACCAAAGTCAATGTATAGCTTTGACACATATTGAAAGCCATGTCAGATAAATTAATATTGTTGTTTTTTATATCTTTTGTTTATTTGTTTGTTTTCTAATCCTCACCCAAGGGTATTTTTCCCATTGATTTTTATTTTTTAAATATTTTTTATTGATTTCAGAGAGGAAGGGAGAGGGAGAGAAAGATAGAAACATCAGTGATGAGAGAGAATAATTGATTGGCTGCCTCTTGCACACATCCTACTGGGGATTGCAACCAGGGCATGTGCCCTTGATCAGAATCAAACTCAGGACCCTTCAGTCTCCAGGCCAACATTCTATGCACTGAGCCAAACCAGCTAGGATTTCCCATTGATTTTTAGAGAGAGTGGAAGGGAGAAAGGGAGGGAGGAAAGAGAGGAAAGAAACAGAGAGACAGAGAGAGAAGCATTAATGTGAAAGAGATATGTTGATTAGTTGTCTCCCAGATGTGTCTGGATCTGGGCCAGGAATCAAACCTATAATGCTCTAACCACTTAACAATACCAACCAGGGTGCCTTTATAAAGCTTAAGATTTTACACTTATTATTCTTATGGGTTCTAAATAAGAAAAGGGTGTTCTAAGATTAAAAGTAGTTAAAAATTTACCAAGGGAACATGCAATAGATTTAACAATCCAGTTATACAGTATATATAGCAATTTTTTATACATCAATTCTATATAATAAAGAGGTAGTATGCAAATTGACCATCATGCCCTCGCACAAGATGGCTTCCTCCATGTGATCACAAGATGCCCACCCCATGTGGTCACAGATGGCCATCACAAGATGGTGGAGAGGGCAGTTGTGGGCAATCAGGCCTGTAGGGGAGGGCAGTTAGGAGTGACCAGGTTGGCAGGAGAGTGCAGTTTGTGGTGACCGGGCTGGCAGGGTAGGACAGTTGGGGGTGACCAGGACTGCAGGGGAGGGCAGGGCAGGATAACAAGGCTGGCAGGCAAGGGCAGTTGGGGGTGACTGGGCCAGCAGGGGAGGACAGTTAAGCATCCATCAGGTTGGTAGGTGAGTGCTTAGGGCAATGATTGGCAAACCGTGGCTCACGAGCCACATGCAGCTCTTTGGCCCCTTGAGTGTGGCTCTTCCACAAAATATCACATGTGGGCACGCACATACAATGCGACTGAAACTTCGTGGCCCATGTGCAGAAGCCAGTTTTCGGCCTGAGCAAGTCTATTTTGAAGAAGTGATGTTAGAACACCAAAGAGCCGCATGTGGCTCAAGAGCCATGGTTTGCCAACCACTGGGTTAAGGGGTGATCAGGCTGGCAGGCAGAAGTGGTTAGGGGCAATCAGGCAGGCAGGCAGGTGAGCGGTTGGGAGCCAACAGTCCTGGATTGTGAGAGGGATGTCCCAAAATGGAGAAGGTGCAGGCTGGACTGAGGGACACTGCCCCCAACCCCAGTGCACAAGTTTTGTGCACCATGCCTCTAGTTTTTCTATAACACCCTTGAGATATCTACAATATAAATAGGCAAATGGCATCAACAAATAATTACAAAAGAAAGAAGTAATCTAAAATGCAAAGATTTATGCACAATGGCATTCACAGTATCCTATCTAATAAAGAGGAGATATGCTAATTGACTGTCACACTCTCATAAGATGGCAGCGCCCACAGCCAATAAAGAGGGAATATGCTAATTGAATGTCATGCCCTCACAAGATGGCAATGCCCACAGCCACAAAATGGCAGTACTCAGTCCCCTCAGCCCCACCTCATCCAGCTGGAGTCCCCCAGTCCCCTCAGCCCTGCTGGAGGGTGGCAGGCACTGTTCACCTCATCCAGCCAGAGTTCCCCAGCCCCCTCAGCCCTGCCTCATCCCAGCCTCAGTCCCCCAGTCTCCTCAGCCATGAAGGGAAGGCAGTTGGAGGTGATTGGGCCAGCAAGGGAGAGCAATTGGGGATGATTATGCTGGCAGGGGAGCAGTTAGGCATCAATCAGGCCAGGAGGGGATCGGTTGGGGCCTATCAGGCTGGCAGGCAGAGTGGTTAGGGACAATCAGGCAGGCAGGCAGGCAGGCAGGCGAGTAGTTAGGAGCCAGCAGTCCTGGAATGTGAAAGGGATCCCAGATTGGAGAGGGTACAGACTGGGTTGAGGGACACCCTCCATGCATGAATTTTATACACCAGGCCTCTAGTTAAAATATAAAAAAGTGAAAACTAAAAACCAATCTACTTAAGCATTTACCTATTGTTGGGCATTTCAAGGAAGATACATCATCACAATGGCATGTTATCCAACCCTTAAAGATTTATACACAAAAAAGTATGGCATAGGAAATGATATAATTTTTACTTTATATTTTATACTAGAGGCCTGGTGCATGGATTCACCAGTGGGGTCCGTTGGTCTGGCCTGTGGGGATTGGGCCAAAACTGGCTCTCCAACATCCCCCAAAGAGTCCTGGATTGAGAGAGGGTACAGGCCAGGCTGAGGAAACCAACCGATGCACGATTGGGTCTGGGAAGAGACCGCAGGAGGACTCCAGAGCATATTCGGCCCTTCTCACCCAGTCCTGATCAGCAGAACCCCAGCAGCAAGCTAACCTACTACTCAGAGCATCTGCCCTCTGCTGGTCAGTGCATATCATAGCGACTAGTCGAACAGTTGAACAGTCTGACACTTAGCACATTAAGCTTTTATTATATAGAATAAAGTAAAGACATGATATATAATGGCAAGTACATTTAAAAATAAGTTAGAAAAAGTGTTTTTTAAATGTATCAAAATATAACTGTCATTATATGTGGGTAGTGATTTTATTTTCCTGTTTAAATTTTACTGTTTTCTTCATTAGCCTCTAATCTTCTATCCCACTGTTAAATTACCATTCACATTATTTAAAAAGCCAAACAACCTTTTTATCTGTAATTAAATAGATAAATATCTATTCATCTAAGAGAGGGAAAGAAAAACTTAATCCTAAAAATCTAAAGTGATAGCAATTGCTGATTTTAATATAGTTGAGTTTTGATTGCCAGGGGTCATGGGACAAGTCTAAGCAGTGGTCTTATAGGGGAGAAGCCTGTCTTTTGTACCAAAGGGGCACTTCAAGTTGTTTCCCTGGTAAGCTGATAGGCAACCTTCCCCTGTCCAGGGTTGTACTTTTCCAAGGTCTGAGGTTCAACTACAAAAAGACCTCTAGTCGGAGGGCAGGAGATCACATCCCCTCAATCTGACTTGGACTCTGTTCTCACTCAGCACATCAAACTTTGCCCTTTCTCTCCTTGACTCACAAGACATAATACAGCCCTTTTTTTGCTTTATGAGGAATTCAAGCTCACCACTTGAGTACTTACCTCTTGTTTCTTCTCTCAACAAAGGCTGTGAACTCAATTTAGAAAACACTTCACTTAGTATCAACCAATATTCCAAACTCTTGGGCACATAAAAATCAAAACAACACATTCCACCATAAACAGCCTCTTCACACCCATATGTCTCCTCCTGTTCAACTAAAAATGATCTCAGTACAATAGCTACTGTAATCATATCAATATTCATCTAAATTCCTATATTTAGGTAAAAATTTAAGAGTGGGGGAGGCTCACACTTCTAACATCATGAAAACCACTTACATGTAGATTTCTCTCACGGCATCCTTCCTCAGCTATTGATCGCCCAGTTTCCACGGGATGCATACGTGATATTTGCTCACAATATTTAGATCCCAAAAAATCACCAATAAAAAGAAAAACATAATTGCTGCTCTGTGGCTGGTATGCTAGTGGTTCAGACATAGGAGTAATACAGTCTTTTTTTTTTTAACTTAGCAGGAATATTTGACCCAACAAGGTCCAATCTTGTCTTTACTGGTTGAGAAGCAGCTAAGTCTATAACATAACTGTGTCCCAGGGTACAGAATGCTATTTTCACTTTATTCTTCTCTTGGCCTTCCCCGCCTTTCCAGCCATCTGTTAAAATATTAACCAAACTATAAAATAATAAAAGATTGCAAAATGCCCACTAAATATCAATATTGGTAAGTCATAGGATATTATTATGTGGTTGTAAGAAATAATACAGAGATCTCCTGTGCTTTATCCATTTCCCCAATGGAAGTATTTTTGCAAGATTATGGTAAATATCATACCCAGAATATGAATTGATATAGTCAAGACACAACATTTCCATTACCATGAGAATCCTTCATATAGGAAGGCATAATTTTTAAGAGAAAAACAACCTAAACATCCTAGAAATGTTAGAGTTCCATGAGGTGAGAAGATCAAAGATGAAAAAGCAATTTGAAAGGTTGCTTCCATTTAAGAATTAAAAATGCTGAGATACTAAAAATTACTGAGACTGGCACATAGAGATGAAAGGGAAAGGGAATCTTAACAGAGTGGTCTTCAAAGGACTAAACTCAAGAGAAAACAAAGATTTCCGTGCACTTTACCTGTCAATTTATGCACTTAACAATGGTTACCTGGGTCTGACTGAGGTCACCAGAAACTCTAAAACCATAATTGGAAGTAAAGCAATTGATTTATATAGAAAAAAAGAATCAGCACACCAGGTATAAAACCAGTGCAAAAACTAAATGAAGGAGAGGTTCTTGCTACAGCACTTCAGTTAAAGGCAATACATACCTGAAAATCAACTATGCTTTTGCTAAACGCAGCAAAACTAGAGCTTGAATAGAGAAAAGCTTATTCAAATCATCCTCAAACATGGCTGTTAAAAGAAACAATCGTTATTTAAAAATTTCTCCTCTCATTTCAAGAACTTATTAAAAATGTCTTGGAGGTGAAGAGGGCCAAATTCAACGAGTAAAATTTTCTACAACACCAAAGCAACACTGTCACCAATGTACAAGCACTGTAGTCACTTACCATGCTGAGTTGAAGGTGCCCCCTGGTAATGAGTGACAGAGTATGCCCAGGTGAGCTTTATCACAAGGCAGGAAGTGACTCTGCCTGAGAGCTAAGCTGCTGGCTTCACTTAAAGCAGCCCCGCCACTTTTCAGATCTTCAGTCTCAATGTGTCTGTGGTGGCTTGAACACCCTGAGATAATGCTGTGATTACTTGAGATTTGCAAAGGAATTGGAAGAAAATGAGAAAACCTCTTTTGTAATGTAATTTTTAAAATGCACCATTTCCTTAGTAATGCATTTTTTCCTTGAAAAACTAAATCTTAAAGGGAAAAGTTTCCTCAAGTAATAATAACTGGAACTTGAAGTCCTGAGAAGTTTTCCGATGTGGTAGTTTTATGTGTCAAGGTGGCTAGCCTTTAGTGCTCAGTTATTCAATCAAACACTCATCTAGGTATTGCTGTGAAAGCTTTTTGTAGATGTGGTTTTACACTGACAGTCACTTAAATTTAAGTAAAGATTGTCCTTGATATTGTGGGTGGACCTCATTTAATCACTTAAAAGGCTTTAAGAAAAGAAGCAGCTTTAGCTTCAGCTCCTAAGCAAGTTGTCAGTCTGCTCCCCCAATTTTAGATGTTAAGTGTCCATGATAGTATTCCATTAAATATATATATATCTACATACATACACATACACACACATAAAGAAGTCTTAAAAGAAAAAGTATGTGTGTATAATATAATGCAAGTATATAAATGTGATGTTTAGTTATGATTTCCTTTTTTTAAAAGTTCCTTTTTTAGATATTTATAAATATAGACCAGGCAATTCATTGCTAAGTAATGAGAAAAGAAAAATCTTAGCAAGAAATTCTTCTTTAAAAAAATTAGTTCTGAGAAATAATTCTGATGGATGTTCTGACATTTCCGAAGTTATCTTTGCTAATTATCTGTTGGCAGCCCTGGCTGCCCCAATCCAAATAGCTTTCCATTGTCATTCCCACATCCACAATGTCCATATTTCTCCCTTTTGCCTCCCCCACTCTCCTCCCTTGTTACTAACATAATTCAGTATTTTAAAGTTTCAATAGTCTCTTTGTAAGACAGTATAAGCATAAAAAAATTAGTCTCAATCTACTTCTAATTAATAGAGCTTTTTCTAGCCACACATTTTCTTCTAAAGTTTAATTCTCCCTCTTAAACCCTACAGCTAATACTCCAGTTTCTATTTTTTTTCCTGTTTTTTATTTATTTCAATATCTGAAAACAATCCTATATAATAAATAAATAATTGATAGATAGAAGCACACACTAGATTTTAAGAAACAAATCTGATTTTAGCCTAAGGGTGGATTCCATGCACAAACAGGCCAATAGAAATCAAGACTTCATAACCCACATAAGGGACATTCCTGGGGCACCCAGTTCTGGTGCTCAAGAAGGTTGCACCACTGGTCCCACAGGACACCTAGAATATAAGGACACCCTACCGTAATTTATAGAAACAAACACAAAGAAGCAGCCAAAATGGGAAGACAAAGAAAAAATAGGTGAAATCTCCAGAAAAGGAGCTAAAAGAATTGAAGTCAAATAATTTACCAGACATAGTGTTCAAAAAATGGTAATAAGGATGCTCAAGAAACTTAGTGAGAACTTCAACAAAGAGAAGCAAGCATAAAAAGAACATAGAAGCCATAAAAAAGAACCAGTCAGAAATGAAGAATATAATACCTGAAATAAAGTATAGATTAGTAGTAATAAACAGTAGGTTGGATGAAGCAGAGGAAGAAAGGCAAGGTAGCAGAAAACACTCAAACTATTCTAAAAAATTAAAGAGGAGGAAAAATTCCCAAATCCATTTTCCTAATTCCAAAACCAGGTAAAATCACTACAAAAAATAATTGTAGGCCAATATCCCTGATGAACATACTTGCTAAAATCCTCAAAAAATATTACCAAACCAGATCCAACAATACATTAAAAAGGTCATACATGATAATCAAGTGAGATTTATTAAGGAAATACAAGGTTAATATAATATCCACAAATCAATAAATGTGATATACACATAAATAAAATAAAGGATAAAAATTGCATCATTATATCAATACATGCAGGAAAAGCTTTTAATAAAAATCCAACATCCACTTATGATAAAAACTCTCAGAAAATTGGGTATAGAAGGAATATACCTCAACATAATAAAGGCCATATGTGACAAACCCACAGCCAACATCATACTCAATGGACAAAAAACAAAAGTGTTTCCCTTAAGATTGGGAATAAGACAAAGATATCCACTTTTGCCATTCTTATTCAACATTAGAGGTGTGATGCATGAAATGCATGCAAGAGTAGGACTTTCTTCCCCCAGCTGCTGGCACCGGCTTCCCTCTGACACCCGGGACCCGGGCTACCCTGGAGCCCCGGCTTTTTCCGAAAGGTCATCTGGAAGGATATCCAGTCTAATTAGCATATTATGCTTTTATTGTTATAGATAGGACTGGAAGTCCTAGTCATAGCAATAACACAAAAAGAAGAAATAAAAGGCATCCAAATTGGAAAGGAAGAAGCAAAACTGTCATTATTTGAAAATAACATGATAAGGTATATAGAGAATTCTAAAGATTCCACCAAATAACTACTAGAACTGATAAATGAATTCAGTAAAGTAACAAGGTATAAAATAAATATCCAGAAATCAGTTGCATTTTACACAGAAATAATGAACTTACAGAAAGGGAAATTAAGAAACTTATAATTGTATAAAAAATATAAAATAAAATACCTTGGACTAAATTTAACTAAGGATGTAAAAACCTGTAATCAGAAAATTATAAGATACCGAAGAAAGAAGTTAAGAAGATACAAATAAGTGGAAGCATATAGTATGTTCATGGATAGGAAGAATTAACATCATTAAAATGTCCATACCCAAAAAGCAATCTACAGATTCAACACAATTCCTATCAAGATACCAATGGCATATTTCACAGAACAATAACAAATATTCCAAAAATTTATATGGAACCCCAAAAGACCTTGCATAGCCACAGAAATCTTGAGGAACAAGAATAAAGTTGGAGGAATAATACTACCTGATATCAAACTACACTACAAGGCCATAGTAATCAAAACAGCATGGTACTGGCATAAAAATAGACATATAGATTAATGCAACAGTATAGAGGGAGAGAAAAAAAAAACCATGCCTTTATGGTCACTTAATATTCTACAAAGGAGACAAGAACATACAATTGGGTAAAAATAGTCAATTCAATAATGATGTTGGGAAAACTGGACAGATAACAGGCAAAAAAAAAAAAAAAAGTGAAATTAGACCACCTTCATTACCTTATACAAGACTAACTCAAAATGAATTAAAGATTTAAATGTAAGACTTATAATCGTAAAATCTTAGAAGAAAACATAGGCAGTAAAATGTCAGATATTTCTCATAGCAATATTTTTCTGATGTCTCCTTGGACAAGAGAAACAAAAAAAATAAATAAACAAGTAGGATTACAGCAAACTAAAATGTTTTTTCACAGCAAAGAAAACCATCAACAAAATGAAAAGACTGACTGAATGGGGGGAAAAAATATTAGCCAATGATGCATCTAATAATGGTAAGTAGGTTAATATCCAAAATTTATAAAGAACTTATAACACTCAACTCCAAAAAAAAAATATCCAATTAAAAATGGCCAAAGGACCTCCAAAGAGAACATACAGATGGCCAATAGACATATTAAAATAGGTTCAAATCATTAAGCATCAGAAAAATGATGATTTCGCCCCATATATGTCAGATGGCTATCATCAATAGATGACACCAGAAAGTTTATATTTTATAGGATCAAGACTGTTCACATGGCTTTTTTTCATGTCTTGAATGACCAACCCTCAGAATAGTCCACTTTCTTTCACTCTGTTTCTAGGGTACCCAGCTATTTTGTTATTAAAATTTATCTTCTACTCATTGTTTCCCTAGTGTATCTAGTTCAGGGCCTGGCATAATATGTAAAAATTCAATAACTATTGTAAATAATTAAACAAAATAGTAAGTTCCCAAGTATCTGAAAATTGGAAAGAAGTGCTCTGCATAAAACAATAGTATTCTGACCACTGGAAAGAAATCTCTCCCCACTGAGAATCCCCACATCAACATCCATTCTACTTTGCAAATAGATTATTATAGACTGCCTATCTCCAATTACACTATCAAAACCAGTTTAAGAATTGCAGAACTGACAGACTTTAACTTCTGAAGACCTTGCCAAAGTACTGGGTTGGAATGATGAAACTGCTGTTTTAAAAGGTCAAATTTCAGCAATTTCACATGGTATGATCTAAATGTGTACATCCTACGAAGCTCTGTCTGGGAGGAGATGAACTCCCTAGACTCTATGTCTGTGTTGTTTTACTCTAACTGCTAAAAAGCAATACTTTCTTCTTTAATTTTGGGGATGAAGGTAGTAGGATTAGGTAGAACAGAGGTGGTTTTTAACTATAGACATCTTACTCTCTTAACTTCTTAACCTTTTTTTAAAGCTAAAAATGTTTTCCCTTGTGTCATCAATGTAATATAAGTTCAGTGCCACATGATTAAAAATAATTATAAATACAAGAAGAAAATTGTAATACCAGTTACAGACATTTAACATTGATTTCACCATTTCCTGGTACTTCATAACTTAAATTCCTGGTACTTCATAACTCTGAATATATTAATATGCCTTTATATGCCGTTTTTATTTTAAAATTACAATATGCTATTCTGTTACACACTTCACAGTTAATTTTTATTGTTCAAAAATATTCTTCCAATGGATCAACTATAATTAACAATTTCCCTAGCATTGTTTATTTAGATAATCTTTACTTTTTCTGATGCCATTAAATAACAGTGCCATTAACATCTTCATATTGTAGGGGAAACAAAACTTTACTTCTGTCCCGTTAGGATATTTGGTTCAGTATTTTAGTTAAAATGACAGAGGGCAGATTAATAGGAGAAAAGCAAACAGATTTTCACATGTACAAAGATGCCCCCATAAGAAAATGGAAACCCAAAAAAGAGACAAAATCTTAGTGCTTATATGCTAGGTCAAAGAAAAAGAGGCAACTGGGGAAAAGTAACTATATATATATATATATATATATATATATAGAGAGAGAGAGAGAGAGAGAGAGAGAGAGAGAGAGAGAGAGAGAGACTAAAGAACAACATAAGAGTTATTCTAATAAAGTCTGTACAGAATTCACTCTCACATCTCTGGTGATAATGTTTCTCTCCTCCTAGTATAGGGAAGGCAGCTTTCACCTGGGAGTTTTATCTCCCACTTTCAGGAAGAAAGGGGAAGGTGAGAGTACTCTTCTTGCTTGTACTTGGTGTTCTTCAAGTGCCTGTAGCCCAAAATTAATCCTAATGTCCAAGTAGCATATTTTGGATGACATATTCGGCCACCCTTCAATGTATATGTAGTTTTGTTTCCTAGGATAGATTCCCAGAAACGGAATCAAAGGAGAGGTTAATTTAAGGCATTGGACAATTAAAAAACCAATATTTAAAATAGGAAACAATGTGCTACTTAACAATTGTCTTTTTTATTTGAAAAAAAGGTCCTTATTTTGATGTTCTGCCTTTTGCTGCCTTCTTCACTCTCTTGCTGAACAGAGATTGTCTCTTCCGCACTGGGAGACAGGAGGGTTCATAATTTGATTTTAATGATTTCCTAGAGACAGCCCTAAGAATACTTCCCATTATCTTTGGTTAATTGGGGTGTTATTTTACATGAATAATTTAGCGTACCTGACCGCCCACCCCCCAAAAAAAATCAACTTAGGTCATTATTTTCAACCTTTCTTGTGCCTTCGCCTTCGGTGAAAGTCCTAATAAACAGTGAAATAGGTATTGGGCCTTGGAATTCAGGAATAGAATATAATCCAAGACCACCCAACTATCATAATCTGCAGGGATGTTCCTTCCAACCATCTTCCCTTTCCCGCTTCTAAGGCGCCCGGAAGAGAGGGTGGGAGGAAGCGAAAGGGAGCGGGCGAGGGGCGGGATTCACGTTTCCTAGCGACGGCCAGCTGTCCCACGATTGGCTGGCACCGGGCGGTCACCATTTTCAAACCCCGGAACATGGCGGCGGCGGTGGCGGCTGCGGTTCATTCCTGACAGAAACTTCTCTCAGGACCGAAGTGGTTGGGCACGGCGCCCGTCCCGGCGGACTTCCCGGGCACCCGGCCACTGCCCCATCCCCCTGCGCGCCATGGAGCCCGCGCTGGCGGCGCAGAAGCCACCCCAGCCGCGGAGACGAAGCCGCCGGACTTCCGAGCTCTGCGCGGGCGGCGCCGCGGGGCCTTCACCTGACACCCCCGGGCCGGAGCCGGACCGCAGGTGAGCGCGGGGCCCGGCAGCTGGTCCGAGGCCCGGGAGGGTGGTAGGTGGTAGGTGGCGGCGTGGCGGGCTGGCGGGCTGGTCCGTCCGGCGGGCAGGTCACTGGCCTCCTCCCGCGGGAGGCGGGCCTGGCCCGGCCGCGGCTCCGAAGGAAACCCAAACTGCCCTGAGCCCGCGGGGGGAGGGGAGAGGGTGTGACCCGAGCGCCGTGACTTCCCACACGGCCGGGGCCATTGAATGATGCCAAAGCCACGCTCCCTGGAGGTGAGTCCTCCTGGTTCTCTCCCCGCTCCTTGGAGGCTTTGACCCAGTTAGTCAGTGCACGGCCCCCGCTTCTCCCTTTATGAAGCGAGGCTAGCGGTGCTATCCACCTGGGATTATGAGTTAAAGCCTGTAAACTCATACAGGCATCTCAGATGCTTAGAATAGTGTTTGGTCCATAATCAGCATTCAACAGGTAGTTTGCTATTCCTGAAACAAACGGAAACCATTGATTTTTATCCCATTTTGGAATTGAAAGAGAAAGCCTTAAAAATTAGTACGATTTAAAAAAAAAAAAAATATATATATATATATATATATATATATATATATATATATATATATATATATATATATTAGGCTTTTTGAAGCTCAAGGAGATTCCACAGCTGGATACTGGGAATATTTTGTCGTGTATTTCCTAACTCCTAATTTAATAGTGTTTGCTCTCTCCACTGGAGGCCTCTTAAGAGGTCTATGGATACTAGGAATCATAAGCAGTGAAACAATTTTTTTCACTCACACAGCCACAGTTTAGGAGCTCTTCTTCGCAGATACTGTAAATATTGAATATAAGTAGCATTTTCATCTACTTTTGCCCAATGGACTTTAGGAAAATCCATTGGACGTTGCATATCACTGTATGGCAGGAATATAAGTACAAACTGATCCTTTTAAGAGTTTTATAGTATTTTCCTTGTAAACAGAGTGAGAGTAATGCTATCCATTGGTAGAAAGATAATACGTCATCCGTAATATACCAATAGTGATAGGACTTATCTTTGAATTTTGTTTTTTCAGTAAAATCAATGAATTTGTAGTTTGGCTAGCCAAGATTAAAAGTACTCTCAAGACAAGCTAGCTGTTGTATAAACTCAGATCTGAGGGTTATTGTTTCCTTATAGGAATTTAATTTTGGGGGTAGATCGTTTTTTTCAAAACCTATTTGAAATGAGTGAGCCAGTTCTTGATAAGCCATGACTGTCATTATTATTACTATTTATAGTATTGGTTGCTAAAAATAAAAGAATGGTCACATTAACTTTTTTTAAATCTTTATTGTTGCAAGTATTACATATGTTCCTTCATTTCCCCCCACTGACCCCTCACCCCAGCCTTTAACCTCCCTATTGTCTTTTTCCATGGGTTATGCATATATGAATACAAATTCTGCTCCGCGCCCCCTCCCCCACCTTCCCTCCGAGATTCCGAACTCTGTTCCATGCTTCCATGTCTCTGGATCCATTCTGTTCATCAGTTTATTTTGTTAGATTCCCCATATGAGTGAGATCATGTGACACTTCTCTTTCTCTGACTTATTTCACTTAGCATGATACTCTCTAGGTCCCTCCATGCTGTCTCAAGGGTAAGATAGTCTTCTTTTTTACTGCTGCACGGTATTCCATGCTTTTTTTATCCATTCTGATGGGTTGTTTCCAGATCTTAAGCTATTGTAAATAGTGCTGCTATGAGCATAGGGGTGCATACATTTTTTCTGATTGGTGTTTCGAGATTCTTAGAATATATTCCTAGAAGTGGGATCACTGGGTCAAATGGCAGATCCATATTTAATTTTTTGAGGAAACGCCGTACTGTTTTCCATAATAGCTGTACCAGTCTGCATTCCCACCAGCAGTGTACTAGGGTTTCTTTTTCTCCACATCCTTGCCAGCCCTTGTCATTTATTGATTTGTTGCTGGTAGCCACTCTGTCAGGTGTGAGGTGATATCTCATTGTTAATTTGCATCTCTCTGATGATCAGTGACTTTGAGCATGTTTTCTTTTTTTCTTTTTTCTTTTTTAATATATTTTATTGTTTTTTTTTTAACAGAGAGGTATACAGAGTCAGAAACATCGATGAGAGAGAGACATCGATCAGCTGCCTCTTGCACACCCCCGACTCAGCAATGGGGATGCACCTTGCAGTCCCTCATCAAGCCCACTGGGTGGGGAGCATGGCCTGAGGTCCCCTATCAAGCACTGCCAGGTGGGGGTGCACAGCCTCATGTCCCCTGACCCAGCACCGGGAAGGGGGCACAGCCTCAGGTTCCCTGTCAAGCCCCACTGGCAGGAGGGCGCAACTTCAGGTCCCCCATTAAGCCCCGCTAGGTGGGGGATGTGGCCTGAGTTCCCCCAACCCAGCACTGGGGGTGCACCTTGAGATCCCCTGTCAAGCCCTTCTGGGTGGAGAGCACGACCTGAGGTCTCTGGGCCCGGTGCCGGGGTTGGGGATGTGGCCTGAAATTCCCTGTCTAGTCCCACCTGATGAGTGGCACAGCCTGAGGTCCCTGTCAAGCCCCGCAGGGTAGGGACCATGGCCTGAGGTCCCCTGGCCTGGTACCAAGACAGGAGGTGCAGCCTGAAGTCTCCCAGCCTGACCCAGGGCAGGGGAACATGGCCTGAGGTCCCCTGTTAATTCCCACAAAGGTGAGGGAGGGAAAAGCCTCTGGTCCCTGCTGATTGCTCGGTAGGGCTCTTTAAGGAAACTTGGCCTCAGCTGTGGGTGCAGCCATCTTTGTGATGGAGTGATGGTCAATTAGCATATTCCCTCTTTATTAGATAGGATATGTGTAACTCCGTCTATTGAAAAAAGTCTGCATTATTAACTGGTACACCTAGTAAATGGACAACAGCTTTTTTTGTCCACTCATCTACTGATGGGCACTTGCTGCTGTTTCCAGATCTTAGCTATCCTAAATAATAATAGATTAATATGCAAATTAACTATCACTTCATGATGAAATGGCAGCCCCCATAGCCACAAGATGGTGGTGCCCAGTACCCCCTGCCCTGTTGCTGGAGTGTCCGGCCTGTCCACTGCTGCTGCTTCAGTGTCTGGGCTGTCAGCCCCACTGGAGTTTGTGGGGACCAAGCTGTGAGGCTGGATCTGCCCCCAGACATGGCAGACAGAGCCCCAACAGCAGGGCTTGGGGGCTTCCTTAGCGAGGTGGCAGTGGGGAAGACACAGGCCTGGCAGACAGAACCTGGACATCAGGGAATGGGGACTTCCTTAGCATGGCATTGGCAGAAGCACCCCTAGGCCCAGCAGGCAGAGAGCGGTGGGGCATGCTTGAGGTCCCTGTCAAGCCCCACGTAGGGACTTCATCTCCATGGCTTCAGTGAAATCCCCAGGCCCTACAGAGAGCAGAGAACCACAGGGAGTGGGCCTAAGCCATCAGTAGGCCATCCCCTGAGAGTTCCTGGATTGTAGAGGGTACAGGTTGGGCTGAGGGATCCCCGTGCACAAGTTTTGTGCACCAGGCTTCTAATCCTATATAATAAAAGCTTGATATGCAAATCGACCTGCAGAATGATCAGCGGAACAACCAGTCACTATGCTGCTCACTGACTAACAGAGGCAGACGCTCAATGCAGAAGTTGCCCCCAGTCCGCAGGCCTCAGGCCATCCAAAGCAGGTGCCAGTGGGGGGCCCCTCCTATTGCCCCACCAGTCACCCCGCAGAGGGAGGTGACGGGGGGGGGGGGGGGGGCAAGAGTGGGCAATGTCTGACTGGCCAAGGAGAGTGCGAGCAGGGGGCCCCGATCACCCCACCAGTCATCCCTCAGATGGGCCCTGATGGCCAGCCAGGCCTAGGGACCCTAAATGTGCATGAATTTCATGTACGAGGCCTCTAGTTGTAAAGAACGCTGCTATGAACATAGGAATGCATATGTATTATTTCTGATTGGTATTTTGGGATTCTTAGGATATATTTCTAAGAATATATCTTTCTAAGTGAAGCGTAATCACTGGGTTAAATGGCAATTTCATTTTTAATTTTTTGAGGAAACTCCATAGTTTTCCATAATGGCTGCACCAGTTTGCATTTCTGCCAGCAGTGTACTAGGGTTCCCTTTTCTCCACATCTTCTCCAGCACTTGCTGTTTGTTGATTTATTGATGATAGTCATTTTAGCAAGTGTGAGGTGATAAAAGGCTACTAGATTTTTAATGATGTGCGCTTTTAGGTATTTTTCTCTTCCCTCACTGTTAACTTGCTGCTGTCATTCCCTGTACCCTCGCTCCTGAATTTGATGCAAGGCAATTTGGGCAAGTGGGAAAAGAGACAGTTCCTTAATAGCAAAGGTAAGAAGAGTCAAAAGAGTAATATCAAATACATCAGATATTCTATTTAAACAGATGAACTGTTTCGGTGATAATTGTCTTTTCTCTTTTGTCTAATTTGCAAAGAAATTGAGAACTAAATAGTTCAGTGTGCCCCCTCCCCCAAATCAACAAGTGTTAACTATAGATCATAGTTTACATAATTATTTGTACATTAATGGTACCTGAGCATTTATAGTTTGTTTTTAACTTTAGCTAGATATTTTCAAGTTATAAGTAATAGTTTGTAATTAAGCTGAGGCATTTATTTGAGTTATACTTGCTGGTGTGTGGGAGCAACTTTTTTAGCTGAGCAGCTGCATTTCTTATTTTCACATAGGAAGTAATTTTTCTTAATAGATCTGGATGTGTCCCAAACAATTTTCAATTACACTTTGCCATATTTTAGATATCCCTGTGCTTCAAGTCTTTCTTCTTGCTAATTTCAATTGCCTGCTATGCTATATTCCCATCATTAGTCCTTCTATTTTGCTTGCTGTTTAAAAACTACTTCTCTAAATCATTTTGGTTGTTTTTCATTGTAGACCACCAAATATTTACCTTATTTTAAGCCAGTAACTTTATGTTTTTGTAGTTCGTTTTCCTTTTAAATTGGAAGAGTTTCCTCACTTATATTGTCTGATATATTTTATGAAAATCATTTGTTGAGCTACCTTTCTGCCATTTATAATTCCAATTCAGTTAATTATCTTCCACCACAGGGAGTACAGTGACACAAATCATAATATCTGAAAATATAATTTGGTTTAAGGATGAAATAACAGAATGATTCTCTTTTTGAACATCAACTTTATCATTGTAATTATGCTTTGTTGAAACATCGTAATGCAAAAATAATATACATTGTTCAAAACACCAAATAAGAAAGGAAGTAGATTAGAGGCAAAGAAATAATCACAATGGACTTAATAGGAAACCTAACTTCATATACCAATCCAGTTCCTTAATGTATTATTTATTTTATGCCTTATAATTACTTGGACGTATAAAAAAGGGGATTGGACAAAAATTATTGATAAGATGAAACATCATCACTTACTATTTTATCTTTTAAACTTCCCTTTAAATGGATTATATTGGGTGTCTTCTAAAAAAGGACAGTTTCAATCTTTTGGCTTTGTGGGGGGAAAAATTTTCCCACAAGGATTTAAAATAGCTTTTAAATTTTGAGTCTAATTCCTGTGAAAAATGATTATGTCTTCCAATGATTTTTCAAAGTTGGCACTGTCTCCCATGCTTTCTGGGCAAAATTTGTGTTTTGGGTTACTTTTTTCCATGGGTATTCAAAATAAATAGATACTTGTTATTGAAATGGGGGGAAAATAACATTACCATAAAGCTGATTATAGCTAGTGCTGGAAGAAAAAAAAAAAAATGCCACCCAGTTGGAAATATTTTTCCAGTTAACCTATTTAAAACTCCTAAGAGGTATTTTTCTTTTCAGCCTTCAGACATCAAATTTATTCTGAGGTCAGTACATTCGATTCTAGTGAATAGAAAAAAAATAGCTTTGGTTTTGTGTTCTCCTTAATACTTGTCTTATATCTCAATGGCAGTGTTTATTGAATATTTTAAGTGCCACTATGATTACTACTTTGGAATAAATATTTTTATTAGATTAAAAATAATCTGAGAAGTCATAATTGCTGCTTCTCAATCAGATTCCCACTGAAAGCTGTTTTCAGTCATGTGGTATATATAATAATACCCTGTTTCCCTGAAAATAAGACAGTGTCTTATATTAATTTTTGCTCCCAAAGATGCGCTATTTTCAGGGGATGTCTTATTTTTCCATGAAGAAGAATACAGTACACATTTATTGTTAAATGAAAATAAAGGAAATTTATTACCTGTATATGGTACGGTAGTACGGTAGTTGTCAACACAAACCAGACAAACTGTGAATCCTACAGTATCAAGAATTTGCTCATTTATTCAATGACAATCATGTCATTATCTTCTGGAACATCATCATAACAATCCAATTCCTGAATTTCCTGGTGAATTTCTTGTGACTCCATTTCTTTCAGAATCAGTGGACCAAATCTCTCATGTTTAGCCAAGGGGGGGGCCTTATTTTCAAGGGATGCGTTATATTTCACTCAGAAGGAAACCTGTAAGAGGTCTTATTTTCGGAGGATGTCTTATTTTGGGGGAAACACGGTAGCACTTACCTATCGCATTGTTTTTAACCTAGTGTGATATATGGTAAGTCATAGTATTATATGAAGGTTCTGTTTTTCTTATAATCTTGTAGCATCCTATATAATAAAGAGATAATTTGCAAACTTACCATCACTCCAACACACAAGATGGCCGCCTTCATGTGGTTAAAGATGGCCAGCAGGAGAGGGCAGTTAGGGGCAATCAGGTCAGCAGGGGAGCAGTTAAGCATCGATCAGGCTGGCAGGGGAGTGGTTAGGGGGTGATCAGGCTGGCAGACAGAAGCAGTTAGGGGCACTCAGGAAGGCAGGCAGGCAAGCAGTTGGGAGCCAGCAGTCCTGGATTGTGAGAGGGATGTTCCAGATTGGAGAGGGTGTCGGCTGGGCTAAGGGAAACCCGCCACCATGCACCCCAAAATCTGTGCACGGGGCCTCTAATTTGTTTGTAATATTATACCTATGGTAGAGGCCCAGTGCACAAAATTTGTGCACTTGGAGTGCAACTCTCAGCCTGGCCTACACCCTCTTGCAGTCTGGGAGCTCTTGGGGGATGTCTGACTGACAGCTTAGCGGGCCTAAGCCATCAGTTGGACATCCTTAGCATTGCCAAGGAGGCAGGAGAGGCTCCCACCACTGCCGCTGTGCTCACCATTTGTGAACCCAGCTTCTCCCCCTGTGGGAGCACACTGACCACCAGGGGACAGCTCCTGCATTGAGAGTCTGCCTCCTGGTGGTCAGTGTACATCATGGTGACTGACCAAATGACTGAACAAGCAGGTTGCACGGGGCAACCAGGCCAGCAGGGGGGTTAGTGAGGGACAACCAAATGATAGAACAGCAGTCTGAACAGGGTGACCAGGCCAGCAGGGGGGCTGTGAGGGGCAACTAGGCTGGCAAATGGGCACAGTTAGGGGCAACCAGGCCAGCAGGGGGCATGCAGTTGGGGGGAACCAAGCTGGCAGGGGGAGCAGTTGGAGGTGGCGATTAGGCTGGCCCGGAGGCGGGGGTGGGCAGTGAAGGGCGACCAGGCTGGTAGGGGGGCAGTTAGGGGCGATCAAGCTGACACACAGAGGCAGTGAGGGGCAATCAGGCCAGTGAGGGCGGGGCAGAGGGGGGCAATTAAGAGTGATCAGGCAGGTGAGCAATTAAGAGCCAGCAATCCAGGATTGTGAGATGTCTGATTGCCAGTTTAGGCCCATCGCCCTGAGGGGCTCCCAGATTGGAGAGGGTAAAGGCTGGGCTGAGGGACCCTCTACCTCACCCCCCCTCACCCCCGCATGAATTTTGGGCACCGGGCCTCTAGTATTAAGGAGGTCAGTGCACATTATAGCGACTGGTCATTCCACCTTAGCCATCACTTAGGCTTTTATTATACAGGTGTTAAGAATACCCTTTCAGCCCAGGCCATGTGGCTCAGTGGATAAGCATCACTCCTGGTTGATTGTCAAACCATGAACCAGGAGGTCATAGTTCAATTCCAAGTCAGAGCACAGGCCTGGATTATGGGCTCCATCTCCAGTAGGGGATGTGCAGGCAGCCCATCCCAATCAATGAGTCTCATCATTGATGGTTCTCTCTCCCTCTTCTTTCCTTTTACTGAAATAAATAAAAATGTACATATAAAATAAAAACATTTTTAGAAAAAAATACCCTTTTATTCTTGTTTTTAAAATACTAAACATGAGTTAAATTTTATCAAACATTTTCCCATCTTTACAGTTTTTATTTAACCTATTAATGTAACATATAAAGAGATTCCATATAAGTGGACCTGGTATATGTTCCTAAAATAAACTCTACTTGGTTTGGTAATTTTTTTTTAATCTATTCACTAATGTTACAAAGGCTCTGTCAATTTTGTAATGATTCTAAAAGTAACTAAAACCTCTATCCTGATTTTTTTTCTTATGATTGAATGACTAATAGGCTACATTAAACAGTTTTGAAACTGAAAAAAATTAGTTTTTTATATGTCTGTTGCTTTATTTTGCTTACATTACTCTCAATTTACTTATTGTTTTAATTTCTGTTAACAGGTATTCCCTTAGGAGAGGTAGCTCCTTTACATTTTTAACACCTGGATCCCACTGGGATTTCACTTTGGTGAGTAGACGCTTAGGTTCTTATTTCAAGACATTAGGTAGAATTATTTCCTGGATTGTCTTTCAGTCTGATGTACAGCTCAGTTGTCTGTATTTTTCTCTACATCTTTAGTAGCCTAATTTAATTCTTTCCTGCTAACAAACTAAAATAAATTTTTATTTCCATTAAATATAAAACGTAGTTTGGAAAGAAACATTCATCTTTAACTCTATGTAATCCTTTCTCTTATTCCCACCAGTGTTAAAGTTAAGAGAATGTTATGAAACATGAAGTTATTTTTGTTACATATTCTAGCAGCTTTTCTCTTGGTTGAAATAATATAAAAATGTTGGATATGAGGAATGAATTGCTTTCTATTATTAATCACCTAATATAGAGGTTCTTCTTCATTATTATAGAATGAGACTTTATAGCGACATCTAACTTTGTGCAAAGTGACACCAGAAAATTCTTTTTGTAAAGAATTAAAATAAAAATGCATTACATCTTAGTACGTTTTCCTCACAGAGACATTTGCCTTGCCTTGAGGGGGGAAGACATTTGACACACTCTATGGGGAAACACTTTCCCCCAGGCCACTTAAGAGATTAAAAGTAACAATTAGCTTGCGACAGAAGCAACTGCCCCACCCTGTTGAAAAAAAACTCACCACATCTAAAAACAATTGCCTAGGGGCAATTCAAATCGGAATCCTATTCTGTAGATTCTGTAGGAGGTTTTGAGTCTTTGCCTAATCCATTTAGTCAGAAACAGCTTTTAACACTGTCTGCACTAGAAATTGAGAGGTATGGAGGATCTACATAAAACATAGTCACAAACTCAAACAGACAAACAAAATGAGGAAAAAAAGAAACAACCCCCTAATGAAAGAACTAGTGAATTCTCCAGAAGAGATAAATGAGGCAGAGGTAAGAAATTCATCTGAAACAGAGTTCAGAGTAAGATGTTGAAAATGCTCAACAGTATGAAAAAAGATTTAGTAACTATGAAAGAAAGAACAATCTAAGATAAAGAATGGCATAACATGAATAAAGAACACGTTGGAAGAAATACACAGCAGATTAGGAGCAGCTGAGGATCAAATCAGTAAATTAGTAGGATTGAAAATATCACTAAGAGAACCAAAAGAAAAAACAATTGAAAAACAAGAGGACAGCTTAAGGGAGCTGTGGGAAGATGTGAAATGTAACAATGTTAGAATAGTAGATGTGCCAGAAGAGACAGGAAGGGAGAAAGGATTAGAGAATGTGTTTAAATAGAAAACTTTTCTAACCTGGTAAAGGAAAAAGTCACACAATTTAGGAGGCACAGAGAACCCCAAAAAAGAAGAACCCAAACAGACTCATGCCCAGACACATCATAATTAAAATGCCAAAAATTAAAGACAAAGAGAGAATTTTAAGGCAGCGAGAGAAAAGAAAACTGTTCCCTACAAAGGAGTTCCCTTAAGTCTGACACCTGATTTCTCTTCTAAAACTCTACAGGCCAGAAGAGAATGGCATGAAGGTATTTAGAGTAATGGAAAGCCAGGATCTGAGACCAAGATTACTATATGCAGCAATGCTATCATTCAAAATAGATGGCTAAATAAAGGCTTCCTTGCCAGATAAAGGCTAAAGAAATTCATCACCAACAAGCCAACATTACAACAAATGCTAAAAGGATTACTGAGAAGAAAAAGAGAAACCTATCAGTATAGAATTAAAATGGCTATAAATAAGTTCCTCTCCTTAGTAACCCTAAATGTAAATGGATTAAATGCTCCAATCAAAAGGTGTAAGGTACACAAAATGAATGGACACAAAAACATGACCCAACTATATGCTGTTTATAAGAGACCCACCTCATGACAAAGCACACATAGGATGAAACTGAAGGGATGGAAAAAATTTTTTCCATGAAAATGAAAAAGAAAAAGTGGCAGTACTCATATCCAACAAAATATATTTTAAAAGCATCATGCTAAGCGAAATAAACCAGTTGGAGAAAGATAAATATCATATGATCTCATTCATTTGAGGAATATAATGAACAACAAAAACTGATGAACAAAAATAGAGGTGGGGGGAATATAATAGAAGTAATCCTGTTACAGATTTTTAATATTTCCTACAACTTTGTGATATCATACTATGTTTTTGGTAATATACTTAAAATTATTTTATTCTTGAAATATTAATGTTTATTGCATGTAATATTACTATATGTAAGATCATTTATTTGAGCAGTTGGTGTTTATTGTGTGTCACATCATATTTAAAATTGTTTTTCTTGAGATATTGTTTTAAAAAGAATAAAAATTAAGCACCTACCTCAAGAGGTTGGAAAAATAACAATGAAATAGATCAAAGGAAATACCAGAAGGAAAAGTAATAGTGAGAAAAAATAAAATTACCCATAAAATGCCTGGTAAACCAATTATAGAACAGAAAACTTCCTTATTCTGAGACTTTCCACAAACAACATACATAATGGTAATGGTAAATGTTTAAATATATCTTTCAAATTTAGGGAAAAAGGTGTACTATAACTGTATCTGTTTAACATTATACGAGTACTCATAGCACAGTAAGATAGGAAAACAAGTGAGACACAAATTAGAAAAGAAAGGATAGTATGAGCTGAAACCGGTTTGGCTCAGTGGTAGAGCGTTGGCCTGCGAACTGAAAGATCCCGGGTTCGATTCTGGTCAAGAGCATGTACCTTGGTTGTGGGCGCATCCCCGGTGGGGGGTGTGCAAGAGGCAGCTGGTTGATGTTTCTCTCTCATCGACGTTTCTAGCTCTCTATCTCTCTCCCTTCCTCTCTGTAAAAAATCAATAAAATATATTTAAAAAAAAAAAAAAGAAAGAACAGTATGATTTCATTACTTAGAGAAAACATAATTGTCTACATAGAATATCCAAGAGATTATTAATAGCAGCTGTTAGAACTAATAAGAGTTCAAGCAAGGTTACTGGCTATAAACATTATCAAAATATATCAGGCCCTAGCTGATTTTAGATCCTGGGTTTTATTCTAGTTGGGTAAATGCCTGGGTTGCGTGCTTGATCCCCAGTAGGGGGCATGCAGGAGACAGCCAATCAATGATTCTCATCATTGATGTTTCTATCTCTCCTTCTCTCTTTCTCTTTGAAATTAATAAAAATATATTTTAAAAAAAGATATCAGTATCCTCTAAGAATACATACAAATGGCCAACAGATATATGAAAAGATGTTCAACTTCCCTAGCTATTAGGGAAATCAAAACTATTACAATGAGATAACACCTAAAACCTGTTAGAATGGCTATTATCAACAAGAGTCTATCCTATATAATAAAAGGCTAATATGCAAATTGTCCCCTTGGGAGTTCGACCACCTGCTATGATGTGCACTGACCAACAGGGGGCGGCATGGAACGAAGGAAGGCCCAAGCCAGCAGCCAGGGGAAGGAAGGCCCCAATCAGCCCTGATTGCCCACCAGGTCTAGGGACCCCACCTGTGTGTGAGTTTTGTGCACTGTGCCTATAATAGGTAATAAGTATTATGGAGAGATAGTGAAAAGGAAACTCGTTTTCACTGTTGGTAGGAGTGTAGACTGGTACAGCCACTTTGGAAAACAGTATGGAAATTCCTCAAAAATTAAGAATAGGATTATCATAGGACCCAGCAATCCCTCTCCTGGGTATCTACCTGAAAAATTTGAAAATATGTATCCACTAAGATATGTACACCCCTATGTACATTGCACCATTATTCACTTTGGCTAATATATGAAGATAACCAAACTCCTTTTTTTTTTTTTTTTTTTTTTAACATATTTTATTGATTTTTTTTACAGAGAGGAAGGGAGAGAGCTAGAAACGTCGATGGGAGAAACATCGACCAGCTGCCTCTTGCACACCCCCTACTAGGGATGTGCCTGCAACCAACGTACATGCCCCTGACCGGAATTGAACCTGGGACCTTTCAGTCCTCAGACCAACGCTCTACCACTGAGCCAAACCGGTTTCGGCCAAACTCCCTTTTGATAGAGGATTGGATAAAGAAGATGTAAATATATATAACTAGAGACCCAATGCATGAAATTCATGCAAGAGGCTCGGCTCTCACAGTCACGGCTGCCTTGGCATCCCCTCTCAGCCTCAGCTGGCCCTCACCCCCCCTCACAGCCTCAGTCAATCCTTGAAGCCACTCACAGCCTCGGTCAGCCCTCTCAGTCCCTTGCAGTCTCGGCTGGCTCTCGCAGCCCCTCACGTCCTCAGCTAACCCTTACAGCCCTGGCTTTGTCTGGAAGGTCGTCCAAAAAGACATCTGAAAGGTCGTTTGGCTATTCAATCTAATTATATTATTAGCTCTGTATTATAAGGATGGAATACTACTCAGCCATAATATAAGACAGAATACTGTCATTTGCAACATGTGGATGCATTTGAAGATATGCTAAGTGAAATAAGTCAGTCAGAAAAACTGAGAACCACGTGATTTCACTCAAGTAGAATATAAAACTGAAACTCATGGACATAGACAGGAATGTGGTGGTTACCAGAGAGAAGGGGGGTGGTGGGATGACTCATGGGCTTGGAATTAGCCTAATACATGATGACAGGAGAGGGTTTGACTTTGGGTGGTGTGCACACAGTGCAATATACAGATCTCATATCTTAGAAATGTACACTTGTAATGTATATGATCCTATTAACCAATGTCATCCCAATAAACTTAATATTAAAAAATCAATACAGCCGAAACCGGTTTAGCTCAGTGGATAGAGCGTCGGCCTGCGGACTGAAAGGTTCCAGGTTCAATTCTGGTCAAGGGCATGTACCTTGGTTGCGGGCACATCCCCAGTAGGGGGTGTGCAAGAGGCAGCTGATTGATGATTCTCTCTCGTCGATGTTTCTAACTCTCTATCTCTCTCTTTTCCTCCCTGTAAAAAATCAATAAAATATATATATATTTTTAAAAATCAATAGAATGTTTATATAGTAGCAGTAAACAGTTAAATGTAATTTTAAAGGTGCATTTATTATAATAAAAACAATTTTAAATCTAGGAAATCTATGAAAGATCTTTAAGACTTTTTTTAGATGCCTGGTGCACAAAATTCATGCACTGGAAGGGTTCCTAGACCTGGCAGGCGATCTGAGCCGATCAGGGCCTTTTGCCTGCTGGCCAGGGCCTTCCTTCCATGGCTGCTGGTCAGGGCCTTCCTTCATTCTTTACCGCCTTCTGGTGGACAGCGCATGTCATAGCGAACAATCGAACTCCCGAGGGGACACTTTGCATATTAACCTTTTATATATGTAGATTGGAAAGCTTTAGTGAAGAACATTGGATGCTTAATTACAGGATGATATACCACATTTCAATCAAGGAAATATTCAGTAGCATAAAGATGTCAATTCTTCCCCAAATTAATAAAATCAGAATGTAGTTCTAATAGAAATCCCATTAGAATATAATTTCATTCTACAATTCCCATGGAAAAATAGAAGACACAGAACCGTGAATGTAGTGTACGAGTTGAGGAGCATATGAATTATTGTATTAGTTATCAAGAACTACTACCAAAGTACTATAATTACTCAGCATAATATGGGTGCAGATAATGGATAAATAATCGGATGGAACAAAACAGAGAACCCAGAAACTGACCTATGTATATTTGAGAACTTAACTGTATCATAAGCATTATGAAGAAATGGTGCTACCAACAAATGGTATCAGGGGTGGACTGACATGTTAGTTATATTATCTTGTACCACATACAAATATAAAATTCTAGATGGATTCAATATATAAATATGATGAAATTATTCTACCTTTAAAATAATGAAAAGAAAATATAGTAGAAAGTTTTAAAATTTGTTAAATTTCATTATATGCATCCATATTTATATGTACATCTGTTTTTACATATACTAGTGGCCCAGTGCACAAAATTTGTGCACATTAAAAGAGGATTGATTAAAGGAAATATTTTAATATTGCTGTGCCCTTTCTCTATAATAGAAGTGTCAGAGTTGAAAGAAAATTAGTAAAATGTATATGAAAATCTTCCTCCTTTCAGAGTCTGGGGTGCACCGTGGGACCCAGAGTCAAGTCTCTGCCCACCCGCGGCACCTTAAAATCATGTGTAACCCAGACCCAGTTGCCACCCCCATCCCCCAATTGGGTGAGATCCAGACCTGGCCCCACCTTTGTCAAAACCTGCCAATTGGGGGACGCAGCCTCAGGTCCCCTGCCTCAGTGCCAGACGGGGCGCAGCCTCAGGTCCCCCCCCCATCAAGCCCCACGGGCGGGGGGGGGGGGGGCAGTACAGCCTCAGGTCCCCCATCAAGTCCCGCTGGGTGGGGGACGCAGCCTCAGGTCTCCGGCACTGAGTGGGGAGTGCAGCCTCAGGTCCCCTGGCGCACCCTGGGCAGAGGGCACAGCCTCAGGTCCCCCAGTGCAGCCTCAGGTCCCCTGGCCCAGAGCTGGGGCGGGGGAGGTGGCTTGAGGACCCTGGCCCAGTGTGGGGGTGGGAAATGCAGCCTGAGGTCCCCTGGCCCAGTGCTGAGGTGGGGGGTATGGCCTGAGGTCTTCTGGCCTAGCGCCAGGGTGGAGGGTGTGGCTGGAGGGCTCCCCAGCCTGGGCCAGGGCAGGGGGGCACCTAAAGATCCCCTGTCAAGCCCTGCCAAGTGGGTGCCATGGCCTGAGATCCCCTATCCCAGGGGGAGCAACCTGAGGTTCTATAGCCCAGTACCGGGTTGGGGTGCAACCTTGAGGTCCCCTGTCAAGCCCCACCACATGGGGGCATGGCCTCAGGTCCCCCAGCCCGGCACCAGAGGAAGGGTATGGCCTCAGATTCTCTCTCAGATCCCCTAACCTGGTGCCTGGGTGGGGGATGCAGCCTGAAGTCCTCCAGGTGGGCAAGGGGTGCAGCCTCAGGTCCCTGCTAATTACTCAGTAAGGCTCATTACAGGAATTTGGCCTCCACTGTGGGTGCAGCCATCTTGTGTTATGGAAACCCCACCTCTGTTGTGGGTGCCGCCATCTTTGTGATGGCATGACGGGCGATTTGCATATTCCCTCTTCATTAGATAGGATGCCTATATACATGTACAATCCTATACATTAAAAGCCAAATGTGCTAAGTCTCTAGTCGTCCAGTCGTCAGGTCAACCAATCAAAGCATAATATGCTAATGATATGCTAAGGCTGCTCAACTGCTTGCTATGATGTGCAGACAGTCAACAAGTCTCTATGACATGGGAACAGATGCTCTGACAGGTAGGTTAGCTTGCTGTTGGGGTCCAGCCGATCAAGACTGAGTGAGATGGATTGGACACACCCTGAAGCCCTACCCCGGTCCCTCCCCATCTGGCCAACCTCCCACATCCCCAGCTCCAATTGTGCACCTGTGGGGACCCTCAGCCTGACCTGTGCCGTCTCGCAACACAGACTGAGGGCTCCTCCCTCCCCCTCCCCAGTGCACGAATTTCACTGGGCCTCTAGTTTTCTAGTTTCATATAAGTGCATAAGTTAGGTTGTGTACTAGGATATGCTTTTTCCCCTCAGTACAATCCTTTTACAGTATTTTTCGCCCCTGTTCTCTCTGTATTCATCCTTTCATCGCCAAACTTCCACTCTAACGCATGTCAACAAAACCGTTATATATCCCTCTATATTTTTTTCATATGCTTATTTACAAATACACAGCCTCACAAGATACACATGTGCAGGATTTTTGCTTAGTTTGCTTTTCAAAGTTAGGTTCTTATTATTCATATTTTTCTGCATCTTCTGGATATAATTTTAGGATCAATTAAAATTTCTTAAATTCTGTCACCTCATTTTGCATTTTTTTTCTAATTTTAATTTATATTGTTCCTTCACGTCTTTTTTCATTTTCTTCTTGTCTTTTAGCTTACTTTGAAGTAGTACATTATAGTTTTTCTCTGATTCTTTAAATATACCCTTCTAAGGTTCCTTCATTCCTTGTAGGATTATTACTCTGTCCCTTAGTCTCTTTCTTTTTAGAGTTATTTTGTGTAGAATTTGACTTGGAGGATTTTCTGTTCATTTTAATGTGAACGTAGCTTTCCTGAACTTTTAACAAAGAGGCTTAGTTCAGATAGTTTTTCTAACTTCAGGGAGCTCCCTCTTATTTTCATAATGGCTTGCTTCTGAGACTTTCCGGCCCTAGATATTTTCCCCACTTCTGTCTGGACTTTTTCTTTTTCCCTATTGTCCCTGTCCTGCTCAATTGTGATTCTTCTCACACCATTTTCTCCTCATAGTGGGTGATTACTTGGGACCATGAGAAAAGCCTATTTTTTTCTAGTGAAGACTTCCTCTCTCCCATAGAATAAATGTGTTCATTTTTTTAAAGAAACTTACTGCCTTTATGTATAAAATATATTTACTTTTTCTCTAATGAGTACAAACAGCCCTTGACTTACATAAGAGTACAGTTCTCAAAAATTTTACATAAGTTTTTTAATAGAGTAGAATCACTTCACAAGAGATAATTTAGTCCGGAGTACTATTTAAACAGTACATATGATAGAGATAATTTATTAGCGTCCCTCATAAAAATATTCTTCTGAATACAGCCAAAGGCTTCATTTTTAAAGTAATTTTTCTAGTGTGTGGAGTCTTTGTTTAATGGAGTAACATGCATTTTTTTATATATAAGAATGTAATTTGCTTTGTCTTACAGAAAAGAAAACGAAGAGCAAAAGATGATGATGTCGTAAGCCTTAGTAGCCTTGATCTGAAGGTAAGCCTTTCTGCTCTGTCAAAAAAACATTTAATGGTATGCAAGTAGCATTTATTTCTTTGCTATAATAACAATAAGTACTTTTTTTCATTTTTTAAGTGTAAAACTAAATGATATTGGCTCTTATAGATACTAGCCTCTTTTTTCTGTTTTACTTTATTAAGAATGAGAAGACCTCCCTCAGAACAATGTTGGTGATAACAAATTCAAATGTCTAAGGAGACTAGCCTATAATATATGCAGAGAAAGGAAGTAGGATAGGGACTGCTGAAAAGGAGACTGCCATACCCTTCCTGAAAGAGGAAGCTGCTACTGCGCTCTAGCTGCATGTAGGACTATCAAGTTCTGGATTTTATGTGAAATCTGAATTTTAAAAATTGGGTCAAAATTTTTTTTTAAATATGTAAGTCAAATAACTCATCTACAAGTCAGATGCGATCCATAAGCTCTCAGTGTATGACTTATGAAAAACTAAAGCTCAGTGCATACTTAAAAATAATGATGTCCTTTAGTGTAAAATTGTAGTTAAGTCCAAAAGCTTGATATCTTTGGAATAATACGTTTTTATCATTTGGTAAATTTTATGGAACCATATTGGTTTTAAGGAACCTTTTTTATTTTTTATTTTTTTGTTAATCCTTACCTTTTTATTTTTTTGTTAATCCCATTGATTTTTAGAGAGAGTGGGAAGGGGGGAGACAGAGGAACATTGCTGTGAAAGAGACACATCTATTGGTAGCCTCCCGCATGCTCTCTGACCAGAGCCAGGCATCTGGCCTGCAACTGAGGTATGTGCCTTTGACCAGAATCCAGCCCTCAATTTTCAGTCCATGGGCCAGTGTTCTAACCACTGGATGCACCAGCTAGTGCTAAGGAAACTTTTTTAAAGATCATTATGAAAAAGGTATGCATTTTTAGTGAGATTTTGAAAAATAGTTTGACATTATGTTCAATGATGGCAGTTGCTTTTTAAAGACAAGGTATTTTCTAAAACTTAAATTTGTTTAGGTCTGCCCATCAACATTTCAGCAAATTCAGCAAGTCAGTGTATGAGTGTGTGTGCGCTCACTTGTACTCATGCACACATACACATAATGTTGTTATAGAAGAATTATGTATTTTTAAGTGCCAGGCTTTTTGCAAAACAGCTTCAATTACATTTTTAAATCTTGTTCTCAAAGAAATGGAAATATTGGGTATTTTTAGGTATGCTTCAAATCAAATCATGTACATAAATAAGACAATTATTTATAGTGTTGTTTTTAAAAATCATTTATTTAGCATTCATTTATATATTCATTGGTTGATTCTTACATGTGCTCTGTATGGGGCAACACTGATGTATTGGGACAATGCTCTAACCAACTAAGCTACCTGGTGAGGGATTGCCATTGTAGGGTTTTTAAAGCAGCTGAGGCAAGCTGTTGTCCTGGAGCTGGTAGCTGCTGGAGGAGCAACTGACTGAAGTAAAAAGTGGGCTAAGAAAATAAGAGGTTGAGCAGTGGCCTTAGCTTAGTTTTAAGGAGAAATCCCACTCAATACTCTATTACATAAACACATGATTTTACATTCTACTGGAAATTATTGTTACCCTGTGTACTTGGGATAAAAAGTCATCACTAAAAGCCAGCACCACTGCCCCATTTTTTTTGCTGTTTGTATTATCATTGTAAAAAGACCGTGTTTTCAATAATATCAAACTTCTTAGTCTGTCATCTATTCTTTTTAGTCTTTTTTAGTATTTAATTTATCTGAATTATCGTTTCCCAAACCAAATCCTTAATAAAGTTTGGAAACAATCAGATTTTTATTCCAAATGATTTCTAAAAACTCAAATCCATATATAACTTTATCACAGCTTCTTTGTTGTTATTGTTTTAACTCATTAGTAGATAGTTTGGAACACTGGTTTCTTGCAAGTTCTGTTTTGTTGATATTTCATTCAATGCTCCTTTTTTTAAGTAAGATTTGAAATTCTATTTTTAACTAACCAATTTTTAGTGAAATACATAGTAGTTATTTGTATCTTTAACTCTAGTTTCAAAGTGGAACATCGTTTTTTTATATTTAGAAAAAGTCCTTAAAGTATTTATTGTGAACCTGTGGAATCTTTTTAAAATACTACACAAGAGCTGAAAATACAAATTTTACTGTCATCTATATTTCTCTATAGACTAAAAGATTGTTTATGTATTCCTCTATATAAGATCCTTAAAAACAATTAAAGTTGAAGAAAAGCAGGTTGTCAGTTGCATTTCACATTGTCACTTGTAGAGGGCAGCAGAGAGCTTAGATTTAGTTTTCTCTGCCTATTTTGGCTTTCCTAGCTTAATTTATAATTACTTGTTCCAGACTAAAGTAAATGGAGACAAGTAATAATACCTAGACTTAAAAAAAAGCAAAGGTTACTCTTCAGTTCTCATTTGTTTCTAAATTCCAGAATTCTAATTTTACATTAAAGGGAGAAAACAGCTAAATATAGCCTAACTATCCTTTTTCTTTGAGAAGGGAAACAATGTTATCTTCCTCCTTTCCTTAATCATTTCTAAGGAAAGAAAGCATCAATAGCCCCATAAAGCAGAACAGGCTATAATTAAATCTGGTCTTTTGAAACCGGTAATTTTACCAAAAACTTGATAATTTTTACAAAGCTGCATTATTTTTAGATAACTCAGTTTTCAGTTTATAAATTCTAGATTTTCTATATACATAGAAGATACGTAACCAGTCTTCTTCAAGTATGTTTTTTGTAGAAAGTTATATAAATAATTGCTATTAATAATATGATCATTAAATAAATCATCAGTTAAAATAGTATCTTTTCTATAACTTAAGCAGCTGAAACTATTTTATCTTTTTTACTTACCTGCCTTGATATACAAAGGATAGAGGGTAGATAATCTCTCAACTTTTGAGGGGATTCCTTCTCTCTAAAATGCCAGTAGTTATTCAGCAAACATTGGCCTGAGCCTAGGAGACCAAGGTTTTAAACCTAGCTCTGCCCCTGATTCACAGCATGACAGTGAGCACAGAGCATGCACCCAACATGTACTAAAGGTGTTACATTTAGTGACTTCTCTGGAAGCTATATTCTAATATGAGTTGAACAGACCAGAATCGGACCTATTTAGCAATTGATTAATCATGCAACTTAGAGTCAACCACTCTTAAGGCCAACCACATCATATATAGCCCAGGTGTGACTGGGTAATAAACAATAGAATAGATGATGAAATATAATCAGTCGCCATTACTTTTTTTTTTTTTAATATATTTTATTGATTTTTTACAGAGAGGAAGGGAGAGAGATAGAGAGCTAGAAACGTCGATAAGAGAGAAACATCAACCAGCTGCCTCTTGCACACTCCCTACCGGGGATGTGCCCGCAACCAACGTACATGCCCTTGACCGGAATTGAACCTGGGACCTTTCAGTCCGCAGACCAACGCTTTACCACTGAGCCAAACCGGTTTGGCAAGTCGCCATTACTTTTTTAAAAAAAGTCTCAATACACCCTAGCCTATTTGGCTCAGTGGATAGTGTCGGTTTGTGAACTGAAGGGTCCCAGGTTCTATTCCAGTCAAGGGCGCGCACCTTGGTTGCAGGCTTCTGCAGTTTGGGCCCTGGTTGGGGCTCTTGTAGGAGGTAACCAATCAGTGTGCTTCTCTCACATTGATATTTCTTCCTGTCTTTCCTTCTCTCTTCCACTCTCTAAAAGTCAAAGGAAAAATATCCTTGGGTAAGGATTAAAAAAAAAAGTCTCAATACAGAAAGATGAATTATTAGCATCATCTTGAATATAAAACACATTGGTGTTTACAGAAGGGCAGTGTTGGCTCTTCCTGCAAGAAGTAACATTGTCCTGCAAACCTTAGTAAATTGTTTTGTATAGATTATTTCTTATCATAAATAGTCTATACCCATTTTATTGTTTTGTTATGTTAATCCCCACCTCAGGATATTTTTCCATTGATCTTTTAGAGTGTGTAAGAGAGAGGGAAAGACAGAGAGAAACATTAATGTGAGAGAAACACATCAATTGATTGCGTCCTGCACATGCCCTGACAAGGGCCCGGACTGGGGAGGAGCCTGCAACTAAGGTCCGGCACTTTGACCAGAGTCCAACCCAGGACCCTTTGGTCCGTAAGCTAACGTATTATCCACTGAGCCAAACGGCTAGCGCTATGCCCACTATTTGCTCTACTCACTCTTCAACCTCTGTAATCTTCTGTCTTTATTTCAATGAACTAGCACACTTGAGGTCCTCATTAAACTTAACCATTAAACTAAATCCATGAATCTTTTCTTACTCTTCTTCACCTTTTTGCTATAATTAATACTTTTTCTCTCCTTGGCATCTTGCTTTGTTTCTTTCTGGCTGTTCCTTTTGCAAAATTCTTATTCCCTTAGCATTTCTCCAAAGTTAGATCTTTGGATCCCTGTTCTTTTTGCTCATATTTTCTCTCCCAGGTGTTTCATTCACTCCCAAAACTTCATCTCTTGTGTCTGACTCTCTAACCTAATCTGTCCTCTGGTTTCTTCCAAGTCCTTGCCAAGCATTTCCAAGTACTAGGCCAGTATTTTCAATTGCATTTTCTTCCACCACCTCAGACTCATCTAAAATGAAACTCACAATTTTCTTTCAAAGCTCATTCCTCCATATTCCTTTATTTACATTAACAGTTACCCCTCTGAACTTACCATATGCGAGAAGTCAATAGGCCTCTTTGACTTCTCGAATATGTTGTCTCTTGCAAATAGTTTTCTTCCTTACACAGAGTTCTTGATGCCTGATTGTGACTTTTGCATTTTTCAGTCATCCTTAAAACCAACTTCAACACCACTTTACAACATAACTTTCATTTCTCTCACATCTGCTCAATAAAACCCTCTGCTCCTTTGTCTTTACCCACAGCCCGTGACCTCGCACTAAATTCATTTTGTTCTTTTGAGAAAACCGTGCACTTTTCCCTTGCTCAGACCTATGAAAATCATAACAT